CGACCTTCGCAAGTGAGCTTGATCTGCTTTGGAGGCGCGCGGATGCTGTACCTGCCAGACATGACTGATGGAAAATTCCGCGCAGCAGTCTGACCACGGCGCGACTGGCGCACTTTAGGTTTTCCTTCAGGTGTCCAGGGGTGGAGTTGGGTTCTACCGGCACATTGACCTGTGCAAGGATCCAAACAAATCGCCGGCGTTCGGGTCCTTCCGCTCTTGCTGCAGTTCCCTTGCCTCTCCACTCGGGAGCACAACCTTTACTTGCATGGCAAGAGCTGCCTTAGCTGCTACGGTCCAGAAGGGCCCCCCCGCTTTCGCCAAGACATCGAAACCAAAAGCCCTACGGTTGATGAGATAAATCCTGCATGACCCATTAGAAGGAATATACCATAATTCACATAGTTTCGGGTCCTTAAGGTAATGCAGGACTTAAATCATCAACAGTATGGCCAAATTAGCCAAGACACTCGGCCGCAGAGCAAGATCTCAGTGGATCTCTGCGGGGTTAAACTCCTACTTTCGCAGAGAGCCAAACATCAGCAATGGGTTTCCCACAGATGTCTACTGCTACTGCCCAGGCTCTTTGTGACAAGCTGAACTCCAGATGTTAGAGCGTGGCATGCAAGCACTGAGCTTTGGATTATCAGGCTTCTGAATCAATCAGGTGCAGCTAGACACCTGGCGAGGCTACTTTGCGGGTTCACTTCTGCAGGCCTTCGGCCTCAGGAACCCGGCCTCTTGGGCATCCAAGGACAGAAGTCCTGCTAGGCTGGTGCCCACAAAAATCCAGCGATCGCGTTTCAAACCCAACGCGGGGTGATGAGACCCATTCTGCTTTGCCCGCTGCTTTTACCATACATCAAGATGACTGCTGATTGGCCTTGTGGCACAGGGGGCTTGCATCAACCGCACTAAGTCGCGTCATTGGCGTATCTTAGAGCCCTAGACCAAACGAGCTTCAGCTGAAGCAATCACATTCGAGAACCTGTCCAAGCTTGTCACCGTCTCAACTCAGATGCTGCCTCGTTTCACAAAACCAGCTGGGTTGCTGGCACATCCTGCATTTCCTTTGAAAGGCCAAGGACCGTCACCAGCGCAGTGACCATCATCGCCTTGCCGTCAAGGTGAGATGCGGAAGCGGAGACAGCAGTATCGGAACTTTGCCTCCAGCCTGAGCTCTAAGTTCTTCATAGTGTCTTCGAAGCCAATGCCATCATCGCTGAGCCTGGTACACTCGTGTCGTCGCACATGTATGTCTTCTTACTGCGTATGGCCCCAGCGCACCTTTTGCCCACCACCCCGAAGATGCCGCTGAAGCCCCCGTGGAGTGTTGCTCCGATGTCCTCCCCTGCGCAGGAACGGGATTTCTTGTGAACTCACTACGTACCACTGAGGGCCGGGTGCCTACTTCGAAGAATGAGATCACGAGCGTCACCTCAGAACGTTGCAGTCTGCGCAGAAACTCAATGACAAGTTTTGCCCACGTCAGCTCTGAGACGGCTGAGCAAGCCGACAAGAAGGAACACCACGCCGATCGCAGCCAGCACCCCACTCATGAAAAGAGCTATCTGCGGCAAACTCCTGGCATGGCAGCTCTTCGGAACCCCAAACTAGCAGATTTGAAGTGCGAAACCCCAGCCCGGCGAGCAAGTTGAGGTGCTTCAGAATGTGGTGGGGGTAATAGTCCAGCCTTGCTTCAGTCTGAGGTCTGCTGTGCCAGGATGCAGACAAGCAGCAATGCAATAAGAAACCGGCATCAAGAATCGAACCACCTGAATGAACTCTTCGTCCTGAAGCCTTGGAAGGTTCTCATCTCGTTCCTCCATGGTGTATCCCCGCCTAAATCTGACACAAACGATTCGTGCCGGAGCTTCGGACAGGCCATCGCCGTTGACATCCATCCTTAGAGCTTCTGCAGATTCCAAGGTGCCGGACTCCAACACTCCAAGAGCTCTCCACGAGACGCAAAGTGCTTAGGCAGGCTGCGTGGTGAAGTACTTGTGCAGCTCAGCACGAGGAACCTCGACTCTCACAGCGAGAGGTGAGGCGGAGAGAGCGGAGAGAGAAAGTTCGCTCGGAGCGGCAAAGCCTCGAGGCCGAGCTCTTTCTCCAAGAGCTTTCCAAGATCGGCGCCTGCCCGGCGTAGCGGCGTGGCGTCGGCTTCAGCTGAGCACGCTAAGAGGGACTCGCGAGCTACGGCTAAGGCCCTTAAGGCTCTTGCGGCTTCAGCTCAGGCCCAGGGCCCGGGCAAGTTAATCCCGGCACCGCCAAGTTCTGAAGCAAGTCCAGCGACTGCGCGAGCACAGCGAGTCACGTGCGAAGCAGCCATGTTGTGTGCAATCCGTGGGGACCACAGAGACGGGATTACAGAGAGACCATTAGGTGACCCCAGTTGATAAGATGACACGTCTTTACAGTCTTTACACGTCATCATTCCACATCGTAGGCCCTTGCCGGCGAGCCTCCATGACGGACAGAACGCCTCGCTTCGCAACGTCAGTTGCTTCCTCGGGGTTGCGGAGCTGCGCTTGAAATCGCACATGCCCGGGCCGATCTCAGTCGGGTGTTGACTCTCACAGTCACAAGCCGGGCAAGGATCCTTTCCACTTCCCCTGTCCCTCACCAGAATCCTGAAAGCTTTCTTGATGTTGGGTTTCGATGGCTCCATGTGGCAACTGCAACTTCGCTTGGAGGCTACCACAGCACGCTGCGGCCTACCAGCCGTAATTCATGTTGTTTCCGTGGGCATGAGTAGGCTTCATTTCGGGGCCGCGGCGAACTCATCTTCGAGGTGTGCCAGTGCATAGTCTCGGGAGTTTCCTGTGCAAAAAAAAGCAAGTGCATGAAGGCTCTGCCACAAAGCAGTGTGCCCAGCGCATACCCTCTCGCGGCATGGCTGTGTGCCGGCTTCACGTCATCTGCCGTCAGGCCAGCCTGCGGGTAGCAGGCGCTTGGCCACGAGACCTTGCTGGAGAGCTGCTGGAGCCCGGAGCACGATCACACAACTCTGCCGCTGTCTTTCTTAAGATGCAGCGGGCTCTTTTGCGACGCCAGTTCTTGCACTGTCCAGTATGAGCCAACTCGGGGGGAGATGCTGTACATACACCCCCTGCAGGAAGGCAATGTTCCTTATGCCCAGGTGATACCTGCAGCCGCGAGAAACGACGACGCACGGGCAGTGTTTACATGGATCTCGCTCGTCTCCGATAAAGAGCAGAGAGCATCCCTCACTTCAGAGGGTGTCAGAAACTGACCTACTGTATCTTCTGACAAGGTTGACAGGGCTGGACCTAGCTCGGCATCCCATCTTTCAGAAGTCACTGCGGACATAGCCCAACATCTCAAGAGAAGGTCCTGCGAGGGCATTGTAAAACACGTGACACAAGGAAACCAAGCCTGCCGTAGCTCCTTCAAACCACCCCCGGGCTGTCCTCCTGAATGAAGGACGTGAATCGTTCCACATATCTTGCAAACTGCTGCCGCACGCTTTGGCGGCTGTGGATGCGCCGCAAAGCCTCTTCAAAGCCTTTCGGCCCAGGAGTCAGCGGGAGATATCGAAAGCGTCTGGGCAGCGCCGACGGGGCAGGTAGGTCCCGGGTGAGGGAGCGCCAATCTCGGCCTAGATTCTCAGGGTTTGAAAACCTGTCTAGTGCAATACTCGATGGTGTTGATGACATAGCTGGGAGAAAGTCGACCGCAGCCCAGCCCCAGCCAGTGTCCAGCTGCTCAATCCGCTCGAAAGGCATGTCGAGATCAGGGAAGAAGATGCTCAAGACCGCCACCCAAAAGGATGATCCATGGCTGTCCAAATTCTCATAAACTTCATAGATGTGTTGGAACATGTACTTCAATGGACTCAGATAAGCGGCATGTAATGCATTCCGCTTGTGCCGATCCAAGAAGCGTGCGGCATGCTGGAAGATGACGTTGTGGCAGGCATTGGACGGTGGGGCAGCTGGCTTCTGCATCTGCTCTGCCGTCATTAAATCGTAAATGCAGAACTCAAACACCTCTTTGTGTCGACCTACACAATTGTAGCAGGCCTCATGCATCTGCAGGAGTATATTCACCAGCAGCTGCTTGCGGGAGTCTGTATCTTCCAAATCCACGAACCACTTCAAATAACTGTGCGCCAAGCTCCGAAAATGGAGACCCTCAGAAGAAACGAGTCGAGTCCAGAATACGCTCGGCCGAATCACACCTTCATGCACATCGGTGCCGGGTATGGGCTTGCATGGAACTGATTCGGCTTCAAAGCCTCTTTCCCCCATACAGCATAGCAAAGTGCTCAGCACAGGCACGTTCAACTGGTGCTCACTGACATTGTCGGCATAAACTGTAACTCGGACATGCGGAGCCCATTCTGGAGTTACGTTGTAGCAGAAAGCGATACAGCGCCGGAGGGTCGTCTCCAAGCTTTCGTCTGGAGGCAGGTCTGCAGTTTCCCGTATCAGTTGCGTCACTCTTTGTTGGTACAGAGACGGCAACACGTGCGGCGATAGCACGATGCAAGGCGAGTCGTCCGCGGGCTTGTCACGACCTGCTCCACCCATGGCCGCCCCCATGTGCGTGCACTGCTCCCCCGCACAGGAGGCGTACAATGATGCCTGCTGGCAACTGCCTCACCTTGGGCGTTCTGCTTCCTGGCCAAACACAATTAGCTGCTGCTGTTCTGGATGCTCTGGCTGTTGGCTTTTTCATGATTGGCAAGTCGCTGGCAACTTCCAACATGGCCATGTGGTCAAAAGCAAACATGGCATGGAAACAGCATGGATCAGGCTTCCCTCAACGAGCAGACTAAGGCTGCGTCGCAAGGCTTCCGACCACAAGCCATGGTCAGTGTATGCATAGAGAGCAGCCTCGGGTCATGCTTCGAAGGACTTCCGAAGAAACAATCTATGCTGTTGTTGATTCCCTCGCGCTGAGCTCAAGGCTGCAAGGTCGCTGATTGCTCGAAGCTCACCCTGTCCAGATGTAGGTCGCAATGCGCATACTCCGTGACAGAAGTTGGGATCACGAAGTGGTTCCATTGCTGGTTTGCCGCCGCACCTTTTTTCCCGCTGTTCCTGCTGGTCTCGGAGAAAGCACAGTGATAGTGATTCTCGGCTGACCGCCAAGATGGCCAATCTGTTTTGGGCCTTTATCAAAGGATTGTGGATACTGCGGGTTCACGGCGCGGTTTTACTGCTTTGCGTGGTGCGTGCCAGTATAAGTATGACAGATGGGCCATGCTCGACATGTCGCCTCAAAGGTGACGTCAGCCCCTCTTTGTATGCCCTTCTGCATCCAAGCAGGTCGCTTCTCACGACATCAGCTCCTGACCATGTCCGAGCGTGAGGCAGAGGCACTTTTCGAGCTTTTCGATGCCATGCGTTCAGGGTATGAGCGAGCCTGAATCTTGCCGCTGCGCAGAAGCGGCTTCACTCCGCCCATGCCACCTCGGTCTCTGCGAGGGACAGAATCGTCTCACGGCCAAGAACCCTAGGCTCCTAGACCCAACTCTGACGGCGGGCCATCGTTGCATCCGCCAACGAAGTTGCCTTTCACCCAAACCTTCGGCACACTGGTGGAGTTCGTCTTGGAAGCCAGCTCGTTCCTGCGGAACGAACGTGTCTCCTTCATGCTGGTCTTTGCCGGGCCAGGCTGGTCCTCAAGTCAGATCCAGGCGAAACCTCCACGGTGACGGGCGGATAGCCTGCATCCGTCAACGCCGCAACCTAACAGGATGCAGGAGTTTCTCCTAAAGAGCGCCATGCCACTTCAGCGGTGACCAATGACTCGGTGCGGAACTGCTTCCCGGCAGAACGGACACGTGGGCGTGATGAATGCGATAACATCCTGAAGTCGGCAACTTACTGGTGTGACATCCGCTTCTGCTATGCTGCTACGCTGCTATGCATGGATGGGCATGGCTGCATTGCATGTCAAAGGTGCGTTCTCTGCTATGTATTCGTCCACTGTACTTGCGCCTCGGGATGTCCACAAGCTTGCGCGACAATAAACCGCAATCACGACCAACTGGACAGGAGGAATGCTGCCGGGCTGCGAAGCGCGGTCGCTCGTGGAGCCCGCGCCTCTGCGATGAGACGAGGGAAACTGGGTGCACTGCGTCTCTACCGAACCTATCACACTTTTCGGCTCACTCGTCTCGCTATCATGCAATCCGGCAATGATAACGGCGGGGTGATTCTACATGAGGTCTTTACTACAAGACCCCACAAACCTCGTCCCAGAGGTCATCCAGGACGGCCCTTACACTCTTAGCCTTCCTCGCAGCCGCTGCAGCCATGGCGAAAGCACCGAGGCCCAGCCTTAGCGTACAGGAAAGCAGAGACAGCACATGGCGTCTTGAAACTTCCTGGAGCTGGCCTGGATTGGTGTAGCCCTAGACGTTGGGTTCGAACATCCCATGAGTACAGACTGTGCATGATGTTGCATGTCTCATATCTCCACCTGGGATGCGCAAAGTGAGCGCTTTCGTGTTGAACTGCCGCCTGGATGCAAGGGGCTGCCTCCAACATGGCCATGCCCAGAAGGGCGAGTGGCGACTTGGCTCGGCGTGGTTGTGCGCGGAAGCCCTGGCTGCGTGGATGGGGCCTGGCAGCTGAGGCAAGGGACATGCAATGCGACGGTTGCAGCCGCACCCTTGCTCGGCCGAGTTGCGACAAACACCGTGGCTTGGGACATGTCCATGTCCTTGCGAGATCCATCCCTCTGTATGTGACCGACCCCAGACACACACGAGACTTTTTCAACATAACAATAACAACATCTCCTCTTCACAAGGTCAAAAAGCGTTCACATGCTGCCTAAAACTGACAAGAACACGGGTTCACCGCGTGCCGATGCCTGAAGGCTTGCCGACACCCGGCCCGGGACGGCGCTGGCAGTTCGCTGTCGTTTGGCAGGAGGGCCAGGTCTCTAGCTGTACGCTGTGGGGCCCAATACCAAAGCTCGCAGCATGCAGCCTAGCAGGGCCTAGCTGGCGTTGCGGGCTACACGGACAGCCTATGCACACCTTCGTGCGAGGAAGCACGTCTGCACACCAAAGTCACAGCATGCTGCAGCATGGCCTTGTCATCGTCTGGGATGACGGGACAAGCTTGGAACACTTGTTCCATCAAAGCCTGCGACATGAGACATGTCAGACAGGTGATCGGCCTAGTCACTCATAACGTCGCTTAGCCGCAGAAGTCGGAAGATGTCGGCACTTGCAGTTTCAAGAGCACAGGAACATGCCTTCTCTGGAATGTGGCACTTCAGCATGTCGCGGACAATGACCTGCTTAAGCAGGTTGAGCGTTCTTAGGACGCTGCTGCGCGGCTACATTTGGGTCTTGTTTCTGGTCACCTTGAACTGGTTGAAGGTGCAATCCGTCAGTTGGGAGAAGTAGTCACCTTGTCCCACGACATTTTCGCGCATCAGGAGATCGAAGCTGATGGAACAAATCGGCTCACAAATCGAAGACGCCAGCGAGCATCCTATTGGCTGTATCCGACCAGGCTATAGCCGCTACTGAGCAGCAGCAGCTTGCAGATCACTGCTCACCCTTCAAGGTACGACAACAGCCTTGAATGCCAAGTCTGAGCTCTACGCGCTTAAGCCACTCCTTGAACTTGTCCAGTTGCCTCGGCTTTCCAGGAAGGAGGAAGGATAGAGGGAGAGAGAGAAAGTGCCAGATAGCCGACGAGCTGGGGGTGGCAACTGCGCGCATGCCCCGTGCAGCCTGCAGCCAAGGTACAGCATGAAGGACACGGCAGCATCAGTCTTCGTAGCTTCCTGGTCCGGCACCACTGCAAGGACCAGCCAAAGCTGCACGCACAAGGTAGCTTCGGCTTCGTCTTCGGAGGCCTGGCACTGGAAGAAGAGGTCCAAGTCCGTTGGAATGCAGTCCTGCACTGCTGTGAAAGATTGCTCGATCCATGAGACAATGAAAAAATTCTTAGCTCTCGCGCCATCACGTCGAAGACCTGGATCACCAACTCCAGCCAGAGTCCACGCCTCGAGACCATCCACACTAAGCGGTCCTGGCCTAGATCTGCATCCCGTTGAGGCTCTCGCAGCTTTCGACGACCGGAAGGCTGCACATGCCACAGGCCCGGACTTCGACCTACGATATGCAAGCCGGCACAAGTCCTGCTGCGATCCTTGAACAGCTCGCGCCTAATTCTTTCTGCCATGCGAGGTCCTTGGAAGCGCAGGGACGCCAGATTCCCCCCTTTCGTCGCCTAAACCCGTCCTCCATAGACTCGGAGAAAGGCGACAAAGGTAGGAACCGTCGCACCTGCGACGCGTGGCCATCTTGATCGAGCCCAGATGATCCCGTCGGGCCGCGTCGCGGCCTCTCCTCCCGACTCTTCCGCTCTCTCCTGTGGGAGATTGCAAGCGCACAGACATGAGGGGACAGAAGGTGTGAATTCGATCTTATCGAGGAACGGCTTTCCCAGACAGACCTCTGCGATCATGCCGCCTGATGCTTGGCAGGTCACGGCCCTTCCAAAGAGAACCCGAGTAACCCGAGCCCGGGAGTGAAGCGTTTAAACTCCTCGGCTGAGAGATCGTAGACCAAGGCTTCCATGAACCGCATCACCTGCGAGACGGGCAGGACGACCGGCCTTGGCAGCGTGCCCATGCGTTACGTCAGCAGAAGCAGAGCCCACAATTTGACAATGACAATGCCCACCGCAACCCTTCAAATGTCTCTCGAGGCTCCCGCCCCTCAGGCGAACTCGCACATGCATGCTCCTGCTTGTGGCTTTGAGACGCGCTCCGAAACGCTAGGAGGAGGACTGCCAATGTCCTCCCAAAGCTTGGTCACATCAGTTGGCCAGTGGCACTTCTGGCTCACCTTACTCAGAAGCGAAGTGCCACAGCCTACAACTCGAATCCCACACATCAACGCCCTCGAGACCTGGGGTCTCCCACAAAGGTGAGATCAAGAATGTCGCAGGCATCAAGCCTCAGGGGAAACGCTACAACTCGGAATCGAAGAAGCATTGCCCATGATTTCTGTCTGGTGGATTTGCAGTACATGCGAGATACGTACAAACCTACATCTGTAGGTATGTAGGTCGGTAGGCAAAAGGGTAGGTAGAAGGGTAGATAGGCAGGGAGGTAGGTGGGCAGGTGGGCAGGTAGGCAGGCAGGCAGGTAGGTAGTTAGGGAGGTAGAGAGAGGCAGGGAGAGGCAAGGAGGAAAACCTGCTGAGCTGTTGTCCACGAGAGTGTCGTGTGCAGTTCGAGATGTACATCTTGAAACCCCCAGACACACACACACATTTAAAATAGAAATACATTCAGTACAGTTGTGCAACCACGCCACTCCTTCGCCAGCTTGCCAGCCTGAGCCGGTGGTAAGCATCGATGCATGTCCCGAATGCAGAAGGCTCATCTACTGCAGAGCAGCCAGCATCGCCTTCTCTGCAGCTCCGTGGCAGCTTGCGTAACCGCAAATGCCTCAGTCAGCTGGAACCGCACATGTTGACCTGAATACACGTGCTGCGCGTGCACGCCACAGCTGTCACTCTGGCTGAGCTCTTGGCCAGTCTTCAAGAGTAATGACTTGGTGGCGGCCTGCTCGTGCTTGCACACTGTTACAATGCCTCTTGTGATGAGACGATGTGATGCTCGGCGGCCTTCCACAAGCCGCCATTGGTCAAGCGAAGGACCAAAGCAACGACTTCCTCGGCAGAGCTGTACCTGCCAAGATCAGCGAAGCCAGATGGCAAAGGCTGTGCGGCAGCCGACCGGGCAGAGAGGCATCATTTCGTTTCCACATGTCGCTATCTTCTCCGTCCAGGGATTTCCCTCACTGTACGTGAATTTGCCGTGTAAGACTCCTTCGGCCCTGCATGTCACCTGGGCGGATGGGTGGGCTGTGGCATGAAGCTGGGGCTGATGGGACAGGATCCACGAAGTGTCCGAGGCACCATCGCAGAAGTTCATCCCTCGTGGAATCAGAGGAAGTCTGCCTTTTGCCAGAATGGGTTCAAGCACAAGGCCGCGCATGCAGTGGGAACTGCAAATGGGTGGACAAGCACCAAACACTTTTCCTTTCCAAGGTGCGGCCGACCTACGGCGAGTGGGCGGCGGCGTCAACAAGCAAGAGAAGGCTGGCATCGATTGTGTCAGCAGCTTCCTTTCACTGAACTTCAGTCATGTGGACATGTGGACCGTGCCATTTACATTACATGGTTTGAGACCGCCATGGCTCAGCCCACACCCGATCAGTTGGACTCCAACTCTGGTGATACACACCCTGCTCAGCTGCATCGGAGTGGCTCGTGATCTTTCGCAAAGTTCACCAATGACTCGCTGGAGCGGTTGCCATCGTAATCAGAGATTTCCTCACCGTCCTTGAACATCCTGGGGTTCGTCTGTGGCTATGGCACATCTCTTCGAACAAGCCACTGCAAACAAATCCCACCAACAACAGCCCAGTGTCTTGATCGTCGGGAAAGCTCGAACATCCTGGCAGCACGGAGATTCAGTCCGCGTGAACAAGGCAACCGCCCGTCATAGAGCCTTGCAAAGATCAGCGTTCTCTGGCACGGGATTCCAGTTTTGGTCATTGCACTCGATCTGACCTCAGAGATCGGCGTCTCAGATGGTGGCGTCAGACCTCAAAAGCAGCCCGAGCCGCGGAATGTCACAGGGCCAGAGTAGGCACTCTGTGCCGCCTTCCACGCAGGCGCTAAGGCCTGGCAAGACAATCTTCATGTAGCCATATAGCCAGAGCAACACGGACAAATTCGATGGCAATGCTGGACTTGCCGAATACAGGGACATAGGGACATTGCGGAAGATTTACATGTATGCAAAAGACGGTATTCGAGGAACCAGAATCTGCAAGGTGAGTTGCTAGGCAGAAACGTGCTACAGCACTTGTGGAAGTAGCAGAAACAAGTAGCGGTAGTGCCGAAAACCCCTGAACAGTATCACCGCAGAAGGCACATGCAATGTAGAGTACAAGGCACGAAGAAGCGGTGACAGTCGCCTACCTACGTCAGCTACAAGAAAAGTAACACGCAGTCGTCACGACACGTCGACAGTCGCCACAACCTACAACTGAAGGCGGAAGGCGGAGCGCGCTGAGAGCAACGAAAGCGGCGGCGAATTACAGAACGCTAGTGGGGCGCAGTCAGAATTCGACGGCTGCGATAAAGGCAACGAAGTGGCGATGTTGATCATGATCGTAAAGATGGAAGCATCAAGCCAGCGCTGATGAGAAACTAGCTGTAAAATGATGCATCTCTGACAGACAGTACAGTCATACGTGGTAGTATGCAAGTATGGCTACGCTTAAAGGCTGACTCGCAGGTTGCACGAGAATCAGACCGCTGCCTGGCAATGGCCGCATGCCGCGGCATAGTATTCCCGCAGCTCCAGCCCCTGAATTTGGCATGCACGGACCACTTTAGCTGACAGCATCATAAGGCTACTAAAATCGCAGGCAACAGAACAAAATATTTCTGCTTGGCAGGGAATCAAACGACGCAAGAGCACATCCATAGGACAGGGATCCCAACACTCACAAGGGTTCCATGTCAGAAAGTTGATATGCGCAACAGTAGCTTGTTCGCCAGCCTGAAAGGTGATGGTCATGTCTGTCTACAGAGTCTATAGGCAACCCCACGATATCCCTAGAGCTGCACCCCATCCTGTTCTACCCGATCGTTACACATTTACCAATCTTCGCCCGTTCTGCGCCTTGCTATGGCATTCAGCCTGCGCGTTACCTGACATCCTTCGTCTTTCATTCTGAGACTTTTCCGCGAGTTGCGGGTGGCCCATGCTACGTCCGGTGAAAGCTGAAAGTTCGTAGCAATGCATTTCCAGATTTCGTACTGGGTCCCCCCCCTGGAGCCAGAGGCACTTCAGGATGACTACAGAAATCTGAATACATTGCTTGGAGCACGATGTGCACATTGCAATGCTGTTACTGAGCTATCATTTCGAGCTTGATAAGGACAGGTTGGAGATCCGACGACATGAAGACCCATTGGAGATGTCTGAGCTGCCCCTGAACAAAACCGCAGGTCTGTTGTCTGAGTAGTTAAAAGCTGCTGAGTCGACTGATGCTTTGTGTTTTGGCAGCGGTGCCGGATCACCTGCTCTCGGGAAGATGTGGCAAGCCGGATCCGTGTGCCTTGTCCGCAAAGGAACTCACCAGCAGCTGGTTGGCGCCAAGTCCCATGTTGGACCTGACGGGTCTGATCGATTGGCATCTCTGCTCTCTTGCTCCTTCTCCTTTCCCCCCCCCTCATTTCATTTCTGCTGTTCCTGTGCCCTCAAGGCACCCTTGCCCTGTGCGATTGCATCGCGTGGCAACCGCTTGAAAAACACCGAAATACCCCGACGAAGCGGAGTTGTGCCAAGCCAAGCACATGTGGCACGTGCACTCCTCCCTTGCAACAGCTGCGTGTGAGAGCCCTTCAGCGCAGCCACATTTCCGCCCCGGGTCTGGCTTTAGTTTCACTCTCGACTCCTGCTGAACCCAATGTTCCGACTTGTATCGAAGATCTTCTCCGGCAATGGGAAGCCACCAGTATGAAAGCTTGTTTGGCGCAGACCCGTGTCTCAGCATCATCATGGACACCCAGTGAAGCCTTCCTTCTTCTGAGCTCCTCTCTTGAACACCTAACCTATTCTCGCAGCTACGAACTCCTTGCCTCAGCCGGAAACGGTGCAGACACTGCCAATGCCGCTTGTGATGCTGCTGGAGCTTGACACAAAATGCCACCATACGACGGTGGAATGCGGAGGCCACAAGCAAGAACTGCTTCCCAGCAACTCTATCGCAACCCTACACTCGACACCAAAATGTCTACAGACTTCTTCATGGGATGCAGCGGCGCACTCGAAAAGATCACATCCTCAGCCAAGCACATGCATGTCAATGTATTCGCCAAGCTTCGGTACGAGACAGACATGTAGGGGGCAAGCTTTCGGTCAGCTCATCCCAGCGCTTCTGCAACCAGCCTTTCGAAGGCCTCGTTAAATGAAGGGTGCCAAAGGCGAAGGAGTGCTCGGCTCTGATTTTATTGCTGTCCAGGGGTCTCCAGTTCTTCTCTGCTCCAGCCCAAATCCTGGGTAGCAGTAACATGAAGTGGCTGACATAGGTAGGACACTGGTGGCCCCGGTGGCCTTCAGGACTGCCACCAGTCCTTTGTACCAAAAGTATGCTTTTGGCTGGCTTCCCCTCAGCTGCAAGATGACTCGGGATTGCCTGAAGCACTGCAAGCTGTGTAAGCTCCACAGTCTGAGGGAGGTTCGGCATCAGCGACTTCTCCTCTCCATGCAGGCAAAGGCTCCTTCGAACACGGAAGGCATGAAACGGTGAGCGGTGCGCATAGAACTTGATTTTCTCTCCTCACCGCGGCAATGAGTGCTCCGGGCGTCAACCCGCCACCGTGCAGCCTCAGGGCTCTGCTGAGAGCCAAGGCAGGCCCCATGGCCCAAGGCGCCCAGTGCAGCCGAAGAGCTGAGCATCAATCTCAGCATTGAGGATAAACTGCACCTGTGCAAACGCATCACAACGTCTTGCGCTGCTGCACTCCTGAAACAAAAGACGAGTGGTGTAACTTCATCACTTCATCAGCTGCTTGACCCTTTCCGGCAGAGAAGTCTGATTTGAAGCAGCCCACTTGATTGAGCGGCGGTGCGGTTATGCATCGGGCTGCCTGCGGCCTTTGGAGAACATCGGGGTCCAGAAGGCCACCTGGGCTGCAGCAGGGACAAGGAAGCATGCTCCCACGTGCTCGAAGGGCGCGGATCAGGATGAGGATGAGGATCATGACAAGGACGGGGAGGATGAGAAGGAGGAACAGCAGAGGAGCAGTAGGAGAGGAGCGGAGGTGGGAGCTTGAGCATGGGCGTAGGGGCGCCGACTACGTCATAACGACGAGGATGCGGGAGGCACTGGGGAGGCAGGATAGGCGGATGATAAGGATGGCGACGACAGCAATGGCGGTGGTGTGGTATGAAGGACAATAATGAGGGGGCCGCAGGCTGGGCTGTGAAGTCTTGCCTCACTAACGTCTGCCATACTTCAAGCCTGTGTGATCTGAAGAGCCAGGAAATGCGGCTGGTGCCGTGCAAGTCTTTATTGTGGGCTCGCGGCAATCCGCAAAGATCTCCAGCGGCTTCGTCCTGTAGAACAGATACACTTCGCACAAACTCCATCAGAATCAATCTCCCGAGGCATGAAAGAGCTGCTGAAGGTGCATGCTCAAAAGCAGTCTCCTATACCTGGTCTCGAACAGCTCGTAGCCGACGCGGTAAGCTCCCTGACAGGACGTATATGGAACACTGTCTCACGGAATCGTTTGCAGCGCTTCGATGATTCCGAGGCCCACACCAAGACGACCTCAGAGGCGGCGCTGCCCTGCACAACCACAGACAGCTCGCGCTCCACTGCATTGAGGATCACCTGAGTCTGTCGAAGGCCCCGAAAGCTGTATCTCTGCTAAGACGCTATGCCTGCTGGATTCTGCTGTCGCATGGCAGGCAGGGAGTGTGCATGTGTGTGGAGCCAGTTCTGACTCTTATGTGCCAGCTGAGACAGCTGAGATGCCCTTGACACGAGCGTCCGCGAGCAAAAGAACTCCACTTCACGACCGATGCGCGGCCAATCCAGATACTGAGTCAAACACCTCGGCTTTCGGACGAAAAGCGCTCAACGTGACACAGCAGGTTGCAACAGCACTGGCATCCTACTGTCGGCTGCGGACTTCGCAACGACAGCATCCATCCTTTCCATCTCCTGCACAGAGATAACAAGCACTCTCAGACTCACACAGAGTCACACACACACACACACACTCCACATGGGCATCCAGTGACTTCGTCCTCATTTTGTAAGTGACAAAGTAGCGACAGCACTCGCGGCTCTGTCTCGGGAGCATCCTTCGGGAGGCCGGGAGCCTCCAGGTGTTCGCAGCCGTGACAAGAACTGTCGCAAGATGCACTGTACTTGACAAAGTCTGCCTCTCCCTCCAGTGGTCTCAGAAAATGCCCAAACCTCGTGTTGCAGCCGTGCTGGTCTTAAATTTGATACAGGGAATGCAGTCTCAGTCGGCAGTCGTGGTCTCGAACATCGTTTTCTTCTACTTTCAGCCAAGCCACAAACAGTCTTTCCTTGCTATGGAAACCAAGGAAGCCAGGGTAGATGCCTTGGTTGGCAGAGTGACTGGTTGCACCGTTGGAGCGGCTGGAAGGCCGCATGATGCTGCCGACATCTCACAAGGCGGCCATGGTTCCGAGCTGTTGCTGTGAGCTGCAGTGTTGTCACCTCGGCAAAAATAGTGCTACTTTTGCACGATACAAGTCCTGCTGCTGAGACGCTCAAGCGCTTGAGGACCACCCGATTTTCAAAGCAGTCCAGCATGAGCTCAACCTGAGAGCCAGGGCGGGCCCCCCGTCTTTTCAATGTTTGGGCATCCTGGGTGCTGCACGGTCTTTGAGTGGAGTGCCAAATGTTTGGAGAGCTTCTTTACCTCCGACACAATGGCAAGAGCTCATGGCATCGCTCAGGCTCGGCTGCATCTCCAGCAGAGACCAAGCCTTCCGCTCCCTCTCCTTGTCAGCTGACTTGTGTTGCGCCGATGGCGCGGCCAGTTGCACGTGAAGTTCTTGGGCTTGGCCGTCCTAGAACAGCTTGCAACACTTGAGAACACGACAGGCGAAGTTCGGCTTTGATGGAGGATCGGCGGAGCCAGGCATCAGGTGACTAAAACGCTTGTTAGTGCCGCAGTCGGGCAAAGCCGGTTGATGAAAGGGTCAGGTCAGGCGACAGGGAGAGGGCCGCAATGTCGAGGACCGCTGAGTGAAGGAACAGGTGAGTTATACATAAACCCGGCCCACCCTGGATGACGCTTTGCATGAAAATGCCCCGTTTGTCGGTGATTTCGCTCCGGGCGACAAGCAGCAGGTCCTGCTTCCTGACAAAACGTGCAGAGCAGCCAAACGGGCCCGAACACCAAAGCTCAATTCCGAAGACGGCTGGAAAATGCTGGAAACGTAAAACGAAGCTTCCTCGATACAGCAGAAACGTAGAACGAAGGACAACATGTCGTCATCACCAGCATGACCGCATGAACAGGCAAGGGATGGTACAGAGATAGGTAGCGAAAGCCAGCTACAAGTGATATGCCAATATAGGTCACAGGCTAGCTCGATGAAGTCTGGGCAGCAAGCCTGTGAGCCCACTGCGTGGTCAAGGTTGAGCTTGCCTCAGCCGCGGCAAGGACAAAGCATCGGATACATGCACACATGCACAATTGTATATGTGTTTGTATGTATGTGTATGTATAGACATATCTATATATATGTATATGTACATATATATATATATATGCATGCCATATGTGTTCATACATAGTTGCAAGGAGTCCAGGCCCGCAAGCAGATTCCGCTCTTGCCTCCGGACTTCGGGCCGGGCGGCGGGGGAACTGACGCGACGATGCTGCATACTTGCATGCTTGCAATAAATACAGTAACTATCTTTCTCTCGCGCGCCACACATGTATCCATTTACGTATGTATGCATGTCTGTACGTATTTCTGCATATGTGTATGCGTACGGGCTTCTGCATACATGGCTATATATGTGACTATGTATATGTATGCTTCCCTGTGCAGGTGTATAGTACATGTCAGATGCATTTGTATTTGTATATGCACATGATGTATAATCGTATTTATGTACGTACATAGGTATGTATGTATGTATGTATGCCTTCATGTATGCAAGCACATATGCATATATATATATATATATATACACATATGTATATAATATATGTATGTATATATATATATATGTGTGTGTGTGTATATATGTTTGAGTAAGTATATGTGCACATGCGAACATACATGCATGCTTACATCGATGCATGCATGCAGACATTCTTGCATAGACAAGCAGACATGCATCCATATAATAGGCACATAGTTACATTATGGTACATACATACCCACAAAGCTTCATGCGTGCATATATCTATATAAAGATATATATATATATATATATATATGGTCACCCCCCCCCCCCCCCGGTTGACAGACCATGCCCTTTCAACTCAGTCGTAGTGCATGGTCTGTGATCGGGGGGAGGGGGCACTCAGCTTTCAAAAACTCAATTCCAAAATTTCAAAAATTCTCTCCCCTAACTTTCCGGATTTCCAAAATTTCACAAAATTTCCGAAATTTCCAAAATTTCCAAAGAGTCCGCCCTTATGTTTTGGAAAAAATCCAGTCGACTAGGTCGGTAAATTTTTGAAATTTTGGAAATTTTAGAAATTTTGGAAATTTTGGAACTTCTGGAATTGATTTTCCATGGGCTGATTGTGACCCATCGGATGACAGACCATGCACTTCGACTCACTTGCAAAGGCAAGGTCTGTTTAGACGAGTCAGTGTTTGTATATATAATTTCTGTTTTTTAAATTGGTACTCCTACGAATACTATTACCAATACTAATACTGACATTGATCATTTGCTGACTGCCCAAGCTAATACCAGCATTAACACTAACATTTACACTTTTTTAAGCCAATACGAATAGGCACCATACAAATACTAATAACGATTAATACTGACGTTCATACTCCTACGCATATCAATAACTATGCCCCTATTGCCAGTAGTGTATTTTAATACCAATACTAATACACACCTGCATATACCAATGTACATAAATATACATACCACTATATTAAAGTACAAATACATTAGCTCATGCATGTATTTATCTGTTAGTATTTTCATGTAATCAGGAGTAATACTAATATAAGACAAACGTTCATGCGAATACATATCCTCATTTTAATATTAGCACTAGCACTAGCACTATTACTAATACCAATCACACTGTTTATACCAACACCAAGATTTACATAAGTATTGATACTCCTGCGGATACTACTGCGTATACTCTTATGCTATTAACAGTAATGCTGTCACCAATGCTAATACTGACATTGATAACTTGTTGAATATTCAAGATAATGCCAGTATTAATACCATTATTAACACTTATACTAAGGCTAATGCCACTATGGATAATCCGAATACGAATATTAACATTAATACTCCTACGAATACCAGTAGTCATATTCATATTGATGTGAAGACTAATACCACTACAAAAGACACGTGCCTATGCTAATGCACACCAGAACACATACCATCATGTACTGATGTTTTAGGACAAGCATACCCATATACCAATGTAACAATACACTACTTGTTAATGTGTGAATATACTATACTAGTATGCTATTATACTAGCATGCTACTATACTAGTATACGACTACTGTAATATGCAAGTATACCGACATGGCAGGTTAGTGTACTAATATGACAACATACTGATATACTTATAAATCTTTAGACAATACAGGTATATTGCATATACTAGTATACAAATACACTAATGTACGAATATACTGGTATGTTAATATACTAATATATTAATACAGCAATATACTAGTTTAATCATGCATCAGTTGTACTAAAGTATTAAATAAACGAATATGCACGTATACAAATATGTTGCCTCTCGAACACATCAATGTATTGATATACTAACCTGCTGATATACGAAACTATCAGAATATTAACATATCGAAACTAACTCTAATTTTGATACCAATACTAGCACTTCTGCCATTATTAACTGATATTAACCCCAGCATGAAGACTGATACTAATGCTAGCAGTGGTACTGTTACTGGCATTGACACTGGCACTAACACTAAGACTAAAACGAAGATGAGCACTAACATTAATGTATACTTACTACTGTCGATATATACATATATATATATATACATACTTACAGTAAACACTAATACTATTGCTGATACTAATACAATACCAATATTAATACTCATACTCATCCTATATCAATGCTACCACAAAACTCATAACTCACGTGTCGCGCGTCTGGTCCATGCGTCCTCAGTACATGGCATGTTAAAAGTATACTTGGTATATGTACTGTAAAGGATTTGCTTTACAGATTGTCGTCATGTGTGGTGTGTTTAGATACAATATCTCAGCCTAGTCACCGAACGAGAGTACACTATCACGAGGGCATGGTCTGTCAACCGGGGGGGGGGTGAGCATATATATATATATATATGTATATATATATATATGTACAAACATACATGTACATACATATGCCTATACAGTATCATATACATAGACTACATAGACATACACGTGCATATACTACATACATACACGTACATACACATACAAGCGCATACATACACATACATGCATGCATACATAAATACACACAAAAATATGCACGTACTTACTTACATACATACGTACTTGCTTACCTACGTACCTACAACAAGCAAATCGACAGACGAGTCGCGCAGGAAATCATCAGTCCCTTCGCGGTGCCTTCCTGCGCGCACCTGGGTTACATTTCGGCTCAACCAGTTTGACGGGTTGCGACGACGAACACGGCATCAGCCTCTGTTTATGAAGCCTAGCAACCAAACCTGGGCTCTGAAGCCACGAACAAGCCGACTCCCAAAGGATAGCAGCGCATGCAACCGTACGGACTTGTGTGACACTTGCGGTTCCCTGCCGAAAACGACGAGGTTCCCAACGTCCGCACTTCCATCGTCCGAACCACACAGAATCAGAAGTGCATTGTTGACCACTTTCCATGTTCCGGAGCCATACTCGTTACCCAAAAAGCCGTGCTTCTGTGGCGCCATCTTCTCCATTGCTTTGCCAACATGTAGGTCCAAGTCCGGGAGCAGTTTTGCGACCTGAACCTGCAGCTCCCATCAATGAACCCGACACATGACGCTGTTAGAGCATCCTGCTTCCGGTTCCAGATCAAACATCTTCGCACCTTCAAGGCTTCGAACTTCTCTTTCCGATCCTCAACTGTGGACCTGACAAGGGTTGGATTCGCTGATGCGTTCCGACCTTCTCGTGCTCCTGGAATCACACACACCGCCGACAGTGCGATCACGCCACATCATCGTCTTGTCTCTTGCCATGACCTTGAAGATGGCGACCAGGGCCTTCCCAGCGCGGGCATGGAAGGAAAGCTACGTCGCACACGAATCCGCCCACCGCGTCGAGCAAGTCGACCATCTGGGACTGGCAGTAGTTCCTCGGATCAGCGTTGCAGCAGAACCCCCAACTCTGCGCATCTTCCTCTCCGATTGTTTGCTGAGAATGGGCTTCTTGGCCAAGGCTCTTCATGCCACGGAACTTGGAAAGCATGCTATGGCCCATAGTGGCAACCTAGACACCATCAGACATTGAAAAGTCGGAACACACCAGCTCACGCAAACGTGTAGCCTTGCTGCAGCCGAGGTGCTGCTGCAACCATGATGGCATAGGGGATCAAGTCCGTAGGCCGGATGAGCGAGCCGAGGACTACCCACACCAGTGCCTTGGCACTGAACTTGTGGGAACTCGGGGACCAAGACTCGCCTTCTTCCCCAACAGATGGCTTTGCAATGCATAGCAATGCGCCACAAGCTACTGCGGCTCCGTGAAGATAGCCTCTGATTCAAAACAGAATCAAGCCGCGTTTGTCAGGATCAGCGTGGTTCCTGCCACCAAGATCGAAGTAACACCTCTGCACAACTAATTCAAGCAGGATCTCTCAAGCCAAAGCTGCAGTGTTGCACGACTCTCGCAGCCGAGGTTCACATGATGAAGTTGTCCGCCTTGCTGAAGAACCTCGGCTGGAGCGCCCTATCGTGCCACCAGCGTAGTTGTTGACAAATCGATGGCTAGCCGTTCGGACAGGTAGTCAGGAAATCATCTGTCGATTCAAACCGAACACGAGTCGGCGCAGCGAGTGATCATTTTTCAGTTGCAGTAAAGCCCGGAATTTGCAACGTCTACGCCCTTTCGGGATTGCTTAATGTGGTTATGTTGAAACCACTCAGGCACAGAATCGCATTCTTCCTTCCTGCTCTGCCGTAGCTGTGCTGCAGACCAGAACGGCATGCTTTTGGCGTGGAAACTGCTGACCCGCTTGGGATTTAGAAACGAATTCCGCCTGGAAAGTACGAGCTCAAACAACTGCCAAACTGAAAGAAGGACAAATCGGGTTTGTCTTCGGATCATGTGGATGCACCTTAGGCCGGTGGACAGATCTTTGCCGTTGAAAGTGCCAGCATTTTTTTCGCTGAGTATGCGTGTCACTATGATCAGTAGCATTACCAACATTGCCGTTACTGCCTCCATTGCATCATATCATATCACATTACATCATGTCATAATACCCTACCATAAAGAAACATATCATGCCATGCCGTGTCATATCACATCGCCATAACATGCCACATAGTTTCATGTAATATCAGAGCATTGTGAAGTGGACTGGCATAGCAGATCATACAGCATCATACTACCTCGGTGACTCTACGCGGTAAGCACTGATGAAACTGATATTCGCTTGTATTCTAATGCGTGAGCAGTATTTGTCACTCGCACTCGACAGGCAGGCGAGGTTTGAGGGCTTTCGGGGAATCCTTTACATACTCGGCCCATTCACCGAGCTTGAACCTTGGCTGTCGCATGTCAGTAGTTTTTACCGAGCGGCAAACATTAAGAGTCAGACTATCTACAACTTCCGTGTGCACTTCTTGTCTTCAAGCCTTGTGCAGGCCCCGGTCCAAGCCCAAATTCTGTCACGCTAATCACGCGTTTTCAAGTCAGCTCCATACAACATGTGGAAAGCATTTCTTGGACACTCACACTCGGGCAAAGCCAGGCAAGGTCCGTAGACAAGTTCGGCCCTTCGACAGTATAATCGTATCCGATGTTCTACTATACCGTACACTATGATACTACATTGCGTGTGTTCTGCGGTTGTACGTTGTCATGCTATATCATTAAAAACATGGTGCAATAGCCTCTAGTGTTGTGATGCGTCGTGTTACGTGATGATATATCGCACTTGTTCCGTTTCCGCTTTATGGTATGATTTCGGCATATAGTCACACACTGTGTCACAACGTTTGATGCTGCATTGTACTACACCATGTCCATCCTAAAAGTATGATCGTATCTAAGCGATGCTATGTAACATAGCCATATATCATACAATTTCTGGTCCCGGATACTCTGCTACAGTACAATATCTTAAACATTCTGCCGCATGCAAGGTGAACCATATTTACCACCTGAAATGTGATCATGATTTTCGTCTCGTATCTTACAACTCTCCTCTGGCCGTGCCAAGGCTATGAGGCTCCAAATCTGCTCGCTAAGCTCCCCAAGACGGGACACATATTCGCGCGTCTTACATTCACCCTGGATCGCGTTACACTCTTTGAAAGCAGCACGAATACATGCCATCACTTCCAGGCTATGCATGCATCTAGAACAGACACATGCATGCATACATGTATATGAACGCGCACATTTACTCACAGGAACATGGTACATTTAAAATGTGTCTGTAAGTCGGCAGAAGACGCACTGAAAGACAGATGCATTTTCCCACATGCACATGAAAAAGAAAAACACATGTCACAAACATGCGTCCATGCTCAGATGGAAATTAGATAAGACTATGTATTCTCATGCATGCCTGTATGCATGTACGTTTGTATATGTGCTTATGTGTCTACCTGGTGCCCGAACGAGGGCATCGTTAACAAGCAAGCCTCCCACCGTCACAGTGCCCAGGTAGTTGCATCACCAGTGGGACCAGACCTACGTGCTGAGCCTTGTATCCAGAAAAGCACTCAGCCAAGCTAGAAACAGTCGATTCGCATGTGAACCAGGATTCTAAAGGCAAAGTCATCGACCGAGCTTTAGAATGCTCTGCAGAGATCCGAGCTGCAACAAGCAGGAAAGCTTCCGGGGAACAATAGATCAGGCAGGGAGCCCATCCCAGGGCAATGGCTTTGGCACCCCAATCACCATGCCTGGAAGTCAGCAGGTTCGGACAATGTGCGGTAGGAGCATCGTGACAGAAACCAATATGCAGAGCACCGTCATGTTTCATCGTGGAGCTTACCTTCTGTCCCAATCTTTACAGCACGACTTTTTCTTTTCGGTTGACACGATAATTCGCAGCGCTGCATGCTTCCAAGCTGCTGTATGCAACCGTCGCTGCAATCAAAATGAGATATGCCAGAGAAAAGCCTGCTGTTCTCATGCTACATGTCAACAAACAACTCGAGCTTTTCAATTGGAATTTATGCTGGCCTGGCCTAGAACCAACCGTGCAGAGAAATCCAAGTTCACGAAGCGAAAAACTGTCCTCATCTCCACGCAGTCCATTACGCACAAGTCGCAAGATACAAGACTAAGCCACATCTTCGCTTAGACCTGATGGAAGTCGCGGAGCTTTTCGGTCGCTGTCTAACGCTGAGACTGCAATCTTGCGAGCTACTTCATCTGGATGGGTGACACGACATGACTGATGACCCAGCTGCTCAGACAACGTTGTTGCTGTCCTGCAGAGATGGGCAAGGCAAACCACTTGGCTTGAACTGGGCAAGGCAATGACATCGAAGCGCCCAACAGGTTCTGTCTGGTCTTGGCAAGTCTGGTACACATGAGGGTTGCTCCTCGTCAACCGACACAGGCTGGAAAGCCGCAGCGGCATCATTGAACCAAGGCAAGCTAGCCGCATCTGCATTGAAGGACCTCCACAGAATCGGCTCGGGCAAATACCTGACCTGTCGAGGCTGGCAGCCACAGGACCTGCCTCTTGCCGCCACTTGTCAGCAGGTCCTTCAGCTGCAGCCTTGCATCTTAGAAGCTCGCTTTGCTAGTTCGCAGGTCAAAACAAACGAGGACCTACCGCCAAGTATCTCGACCTGCAGTACAAGACAGTCTAGTAGTGTAATAGCAACACGCTTGGACAAAACCCGTATCAGTGCCCTGGGGCGGTGGAGGGAACTCAACAGACTGCTGAGACTACTCAGAACTACCCCGGTCCTACCACAACGTCGCCGCAACAAGTTCACGCTGCGCACACCAGTTCATGCCACGGCCCTGTCGAGGACGCCTGTATCTAAAAGTCGTTTCTCCCCAGCGCCCGACGGTTGATCTAGAGATGTCAACATCTCCGAAGCCTGCAAAGTGCAGGCACCCCCTCCAGTGGACTCTAGAGTCCACTTCTCTGGAAAATCAGGTCCCCGGTGAAACACAGGAGGATCAGGAGAAACAAGGCACTCGTGGTCTTCACACCTTGCTCCGAGTTAGCCCCCTCTTTCTTATGACACAGCTCTACCCCGTGGCTGTGCGCGGCAGCGAATTAGCGATCGCAAGAATACGGATCATGACACGCTCCGGACCCATCAGTCATGTCCTGGCAGTAGCGCCGGCAGTTGCACGTCTACAACTTCTAGAGACCTCAAGAGAGTGGCACATGGGCCCATGATGATCCATGGATCGGCAGGGCAAAGCGAATTGGGTGCAAAGCTGGCTCACGCGCTGCAATTCACGCAGCTGTACTTTGGCCCTTCAGCCTTCAGAGCTTCGATCGCCTCAGGCCCATGACGATCCAAGTGGCACACATCTACCTTGATGCCTTACATCTTGCAGCGTACAGCCCCTGAATGAAGCCAAGGAGCAGAGGCCTCCAAGCCTTTCGTCGCGGACACTGCCGTGGAGGCATCTGAATCAGAGGCCAATGACTTGTCAGACCTCCGTTCGGAGCTTTTCTGGTGGGGTGAGGGACTGTTTATCGGGACGGTGTCTTTCTGCATGGCTGCTCGCCGTGCCTGGCGGTCTTGCCGAGCTTCTGGACATCCACGGTGAACTTGATAGCATCTGCAGCTGCCTTCGTTCGGAGGTAGTACAGGCCGGTCTTCAAGCCTGGCGAATGCAAGTCTGGAGTTACGGGCGCAAGTTACTCCCCGGACTCCCCGGCCTAGCTGCCAGCCGTGGAAGTGCATGGAGGAGAGCTTAGCAGTGGTCACATCCGTCATGTGGATGTTCAGAGACTGCGATTGGTCAATGTAGGCACCACGGTCTCCAGCCATGTCCAGCACAACCTTCTGCCTGATCTCCCAGACAGTCTTGTACAGCTCCTTGAGATCCTGCGGCAGGTCCATCTTTTGGACACTGCCATTGTGGGCGACCAGCTGAACGCGGAGTTCCTCGTTCCACAAACCGCGCTGGATGAGGTCCTTGAGGAGGTGTCGGTTCACTTGCACGAACTCGCCCGAAAGCACTCGTCGAACATAGAGGTTCTGTGTGTACGGCTCGAAGGACTCGTTGTTGCCTAAGATCTGGGCTGTGCTGGCCGTTGGCATGGGTGCCACAAGCAAAGAATTCCGGAGTCCGAATTGGGCGATGCGGCCTTTCAGGCCTTCCCAGTTCCAGCGTCCGCTGCGTGGCTTCCGATCCCACAGGTCGAACTGCAGCAGACCTTTGCTGGCAGGGCTGCCTTCGTAGGTCTCGTAAGGCCCGCAAGTTTCCGCCAGCTCGCAGGATGCCTCGCAGGCCGCGAAGTAGATCGTCTCGAAGATGTCCTCGTTGAGCTGCTTCGCGGCCTCGCTCTCGAAGGGCAGCTTCATGATGAGGAAAGCATCAGCGAGGCCCTGGACGCCCAAGCCCACAGGCCGATGCCGGAGGTTAGACTTGCGTGCCTCCACCACCGGGTAGTAATTCTGGTCAATGACTCTGTTCAGGTTTCGGGTCACTACCTTCGTCACTTCGTAGAGTCGCTGGAAGTCATAGCTGCCATCCGAGCTGGCAAAGGCTGGCAACGAAATGGAGGCGAGGTTGCACACTGCCACCTCATCCTTCGAAGTGTACTCAATGATCTCTGTACAGAGGTTGGAGCAATGGATCGTGCCAAGGTTCTGCTGGTTGGACTTCCGGTTCGCATGGTCTTTGTACAACATGTAGGGCGTGCCTGTCTCCATCTGAGACTCGAGGATGCGGAACCAAAGCTGCTGTGCCTTCACCGTCTTGCGGCCCTTGCCCTCCCTCTCCAGGCGTGTGTACAGCTCCTCGAACTCCTGGCCCCAGAAATCCATGAGCCCCTTGCCGCTCTCCCCGTCGTAGGCCTCGTTGGGGCAGAAGAGTGTCCAGTCCTGGTTGTCCTTGACCCGCTTCATAAAGAGATCCGGGATCCAGAGCCCATAGAAGAGATCGCGGGCACGCTGCTCCTCCTTGCCGTGGTTCTTGCGAAGCTCCAGGAAATCGAAAACGTCCGCATGCCAGGGCTCCAGGTACATAGCGAAGGAGCCCTTCCTCTTGCCCCCGCCCTGATCCACATACCTGTCCAAGTCGATCGCTGTATCTCTCTCGTGGCACGGTAGACTCTACCTAGTCTACGTCTACGCAGCGCTCGCAACTCCTATTCTGACTCTGTGCTTGCGCAATGGCGCTCTGCCTCGCCGTCTCGTTGAAATTGCGGAGCATGGGTACGAGGCCGTTGCTGTGGCCGTTGGTGCCGCGAATGTAGGAGCCGCCGGCACGCACGTTCGAGATTGCCACGCCAATTCCCCCGGCAGACTTGGAGATGGAAGCGCACTGCTTCCTTGGGTCATTCTGAATCATGGCAGGGAAGAAAGGATCCTTCACTAGAACCCCACAAACACCCAGAAGTCAGAAGGATCCTGAAGATAGACTCCAAGTTGCAAGGTGTCGTAGATACCTTCGATGCTGTCATCTTGCAACTTCAGCAGAAAGCAGGAGGACATCTGCGGCTTCGGAGTCCCCGCATTGAAGAGGGTCGGCGTCGCATGGGTGAAGAACTTCCGCGACATCAAGTCATACCTTGCTGCAGGGGCCAGGATTGGACATGCACTCCGTTTGCTGGCCCAAGACTCTAAACACAAGTCCCTCAAGGCATCGCTGCTACTTAGCCTGGCTGCGTCTCCAACGCTGCTTCGAGGTCCCCCATGTGGATGCCGCAGGCCGCGCGCATGATCATGTGCTGCGGCCTCTCCACGATCTTCCCATGCACACGTAGGAGGTAAGACTTCTCCAGGGTCTTGAATCCGAAGTAGTCGTAGCCCAAGTCCCGCTTGTAGTCGATGGCTTGGTCCAAAGCCTCCGCGTTGGCCTGGATGAACTCCCAAACGTCCTTGGCCAAAAGAGCCGCAGACCTGCCCTGCTTGTCGATGTAGTCGTGCAAGATCTTGCACGTCTCATAGAAAGAGTCGGATGTGTTTTTATGCAGGTTCGACACAGCAATGCGTGCGGCCAAAGTGGAGAAGTCTGGGTGCTTCTGTGACATGTATGCGCATGTCTCGGCAGCCAAGGTGTCCACCTCCGATGTGGAGATGCCGTTGTAGAAGCCTTCCACTACTTTCTGCGTAACGGGCACGGGGTCCACGAAGCGGGAGTCCAAGCCATCGCAAAGATTTTTGATGCGGCGCGTGATAGCATCGAACTTCACCTCCTGACTCTGCCCATCCCTCTTGACCACGTACATCGGCGCCATGGCACGGGGAACTGCGACAGTCGGTGAAGGACGCAGAGATTTACAGAATCCTTTCCCAGCTGGGCCAGCTAAAATGCCTGGTGCGACCGAAGCTTCACAAAGAGGCAACCTTTCACAGCATAGCTCTGCCCATCTAAGGCCGCTAGCTGGCTACCAGCAGCTGTGTACATCTCCCCAACGCACACATGCGGCAAAGATCCGGCAATAGATGCTCTGGTGGGGTGGAACCGACTCGTGCTAAACCCTCGTCCTTGCCATGCGCAAAGAAGAGGTCTCTTAGACTACTCACATCTACATCTACATTTTATACATACGCATGACATCGAAGCCTATCACATGCTGCAACAACTTCAAGCATTGTAGAGACAAGCACCAGCTCATTCCGGGGCCATGTCGAGGACGCTTCTATCTAAAAGTGGTCCCGAGTGCCGCACACGTTTCTCCCCCATGCCCAACGGTTGATCTAGAGATGTCAACATCTCCGAAGCCTGCAAAATGGAGGCACCCCCTCCAGTGGACTCTAGAGTCCACTTCTCTGGAAAATCAGGTCCCCGGTGAAACACAGGAGGATCAGGAGAAACAAGGCACTCGTGGTCTTCACACCTTGCTCCGAGTTAGCCCCCTCTTTCTTATGACACAGCTCTACCCCGTGGCTGTGCGCGGCAGGGAATTAGCGATCGCAAGAACACGGATCATGACACGCTCCGGACCCATCAGTCATGTCCTGGCAGTAGCGCCGGCAGTTGCACGTCTACAACTTCTAGAGACCTCAAGAGAGTGGCACATGGGCCCATGATGATCCATGGATCGGCAGGGCAAAGCGAATTGGGTGCAAAGCTGGCTCACGCGCTGCAATTCACGCAGCTGTACTTTGGCCCTTCAGCCTTCAGAGCTTCGATCGCCTCAGGCCCGCGTGGCACACATCTACCTTGATGCCTTACATCTTGCAGCGTACAGCCCCTGAATGAAGCCAAGGAGCAGAGGCCTCCAAGCCTTTCGTCGCGGACACTGCCGTGGAGGCATCTGAATCAGAGGCCAATGACTTGTCAGACCTCCGTTCGGAGCTTTTCTGGTGGGGTGAAAAACTGTTTATCGGGACGGTGTCTTTCTGCATGGCTGCTCGCCGTGCCTGGCGGTCTTGCCGAGCTTCTGGACATCCACGGTGAACTTGATAGCATCTGCAGCTGCCTTCGTTCGGAGGTAGTACAGGCCGGTCTTCAAGCCTGGCGAATGCAAGTCTGGAGTTACGGGCGCAAGTTACTCCCCGGACTCCCCGGCCTAGCTGCCAGCCGTGGAAGTGCATGGAGGAGAGCTTGGCAGTGGTCACATCCGTCATGTGGATGTTCAGAGACTGCGATTGGTCAATGTAGGCACCACGGTCTCCAGCCATGTCCAGCACAACCTTCTGCCTGATCTCCCAGACAGTCTTGTACAGCTCCTTGAGATCCTGCGGCAGGTCCATCTTTTGGACACTGCCATTGTGGGCGACCAGCTGAACGCGGAGTTCCTCGTTCCACAAACCGCGCTGGATGAGGTCCTTGAGGAGGTGTCGGTTCACTTGCACGAACTCGCCCGAAAGCACTCGTCGAACATAGAGGTTCTGTGTGTACGGCTCGAAGGACTCGTTGTTGCCTAAGATCTGGGCTGTGCTGGCCGTTGGCATGGGTGCCACAAGCAAAGAATTCCGGAGTCCGAATTGGGCGATGCGGCCTTTCAGGCCTTCCCAGTTCCAGCGTCCGCTGCGTGGCTTCCGATCCCACAGGTCGAACTGCAGCAGACCTTTGCTGGCAGGGCTGCCTTCGTAGGTCTCGTAAGGCCCGCAAGTTTCCGCCAGCTCGCAGGATGCCTCGCAGGCCGCGAAGTAAATCGTCTCGAAGATGTCCTCGTTGAGCTGCTTCGCGGCCTCGCTCTCGAAGGGTAGCTTCATGATGAGGAAAGCATCAGCGAGGCCCTGGACGCCCAAGCCCACAGGCCGATGCCGGAGGTTAGACTTGCGTGCCTCCACCACCGGGTAGTAATTCCGGTCAATGACTCTGTTCAGGTTTCGGGTCACTACCTTCGTCACTTCGTAGAGTCGCTGGAAGTCATAGCTGCCATCCGAGCTGGCAAAGGCTGGCAACGAAATGGAGGCGAGGTTGCACACTGCCACCTCATCCTTCGAAGTGTACTCAATGATCTCTGTACAGAGGTTGGAGCAATGGATCGTGCCAAGGTTCTGCTGGTTGGACTTCCGGTTCGCATGGTCTTTGTACAACATGTAGGGCGTGCCTGTCTCCATCTGAGACTCGAGGATGCGGAACCAAAGCTGCTGTGCCTTCACCGTCTTGCGGCCCTTGCCCTCCCTCTCCAGGCGTGTGTACAGCTCCTCGAACTCCTGGCCCCAGAAATCCATGAGCCCCTTGCCGCTCTCCCCGTCGTAGGCCTCGTTGGGGCAGAAGAGTGTCCAGTCCTGGTTGTCCTTGACCCGCTTCATAAAGAGATCCGGGATCCAGAGCCCATAGAAGAGATCGCGGGCACGCTGCTCCTCCTTGCCGTGGTTCTTGCGAAGCTCCAGGAAATCGAAAACGTCCGCGTGCCAGGGCTCCAGGTACATAGCGAAGGAGCCCTTCCTCTTGCCCCCGCCCTGATCCACATACCTGTCCAAGTCGATCGCTGTATCTCTCTCGTGGCACGGTAGACTCTACCTAGTCTACGTCTACGCAGCGCTCGCAACTCCTATTCTGACTCTGTGCTTGCGCAATGGCGCTCTGCCTCGCCGTCTCGTTGAAATTGCGGAGCATGGGTACGAGGCCGTTGCTGTGGCCGTTGGTGCCGCGAATGTAGGAGCCGCCGGCACGCACGTTCGAGATTGCCACGCCAATTCCCCCGGCAGACTTGGAGATGGAAGCGCACTGCTTCCTTGGGTCATTCGGAATCATGGAAGGGAAGAAAGGATCCTTCACTAGAACCCACAAACACCCCGAAGTCAGAAGGATCCTGAAGATGGACTCCAAGTTGCAGGGTGTCGTAGATACCTTCGATGCTGTCATCTTGCAACTTCAGCAGAAAGCAGGAGGACATCTGTGGCTTCGGAGTCCCCGCATTGAAGAGGGTCGGCGTCGCATGGGTGAAGAACTTCCGCGACATCAAGTCATACCTTGCTGCAGGGGCCAGGATTGGACATGCACTCCGTTTGCTGGCCCAAGACTCTAAACACAAGTCCCTCAAGGCATCGCTGCTACTTAGCCTGGCTGCGTCTCCAACGCGGCTTCGAGGTCCCCCATGTGGATGCCGCAGGCCGCGCGCATGATCATGTGCTGCGGCCTCTCCACGATCTTCCCATGCACACGTAGGAGGTAAGACTTCTCCAGGGTCTTGAATCCGAAGTAGTCGTAGCCCAAGTCCCGCTTGTAGTCGATGGCTTGGTCCAAAGCCTCCGCGTTGGCCTGGATGAACTCCCAAACGTCCTTGGCCAAAAGAGCCGCAGGCCTGCCCTGCTTGTCGATGTAGTCGTGCAAGATCTTGCACGTCTCATAGAAAGAGTCGGATGTGTTTTTATGCAGGTTCGACACAGCAATGCGTGCGGCCAAAGTGGAGAAGTCTGGGTGCTTCTGTGACATGTATGCGCATGTCTCGGCAGCCAAGGTGTCCACCTCCGATGTGGAGATGCCGTTGTAGAAGCCTTCCACTACCTTCTGCGTAACGGGCACGGGGTCCACGAAGCGGGAGTCCAAGCCATCGCAAAGATTTCTGATGCGGCGCGTGATAGCATCGAACTTCACCTCCTGACTCTGTCCATCCCTCTTGACCACGTACATCGGCGCCATGGCACGGGGAACTGCGACAGTCGGTGAAGGATGCAGATTTACAGAATCCTTTCCCAGGTGGGCCAGCTAAAATGCCTTGTGCGACCGCAGCTTCACAAAGAGGCAACCTTTCGCCGCTAGCTGGCTACCAGCAGCTGTGTACATCTCCCCAACGCACACATGCGGCAAAGATCCGGCAATAGATGCTCTGGTGGAACCGACTCGTGCTAAACCCTCGTCCTTGCCATGCGCAAAGAAGAGGTCTCTTAGACTACTCACATCTACATCTACATTTTATACATACGCATGACATCGAAGCCTATCACATGCTGCAACAACTTCAAGCATTGTAGAGACAAGCACCAGCTCATTCCGGGGCCATGTCGAGGACGCTTCTATCTAAAAGTGGTCCCGAGTGCCGCACACGTTTCTCCCCCATGCCCAACGGTTGATCTAGAGATGTCAGCATCTCCGAAGCCTGCAAAATGCAGGCACCCCCTCCAGTGGACTCTAGAGTCCACTTCTCTGGAAAATCAGGTCCCCGGTGAAACACAGGAGGATCAGGAGAAACAAGGCACTCGTGGTCTTCACACCTTGCTCCGAGTTAGCCCCCTCTTTCTTATGACACAGCTCTACCCCGTGGCTGTGCGCGGCAGCGAATTAGCGATCGCAAGAACACGGATCATGACACGCTCCGGACCCATCAGTCATGTCCTGGCAGTAGCGCCGGCAGTTGCACGTCTACAACTTCTAGCGACCTCAAGAGAGTGGCACATGGGCCCATGATGATCCATGGATCGGCAGGGCAAAGCGAATTGGGTGCAAAGCTGGCTCACGCGCTGCAATTCACGCAGCTGTACTTTGGCCCTTCAGCCTTCAGAGCTTCGATCGCCTCAGGCCCGCGTGGCACACATCTACCTTGATGCCTTACATCTTGCAGCGTACAGCCCCTGAATGAAGCCAAGGAGCAGAGGCCTCCAAGCCTTTCGTCGCGGACACTGCCGTGGAGGCATCTGAATCAGAGGCCAATGACTTGTCAGACCTCCGTTCGGAGCTTTTCTGGTGGGGTGAAAAACTGTTTATCGGGACGGTGTCTTTCTGCCTGGCTGCTCGCCGTGCCTGGCGGTCTTGCCGAGCTTCTGGACATCCACGGTGAACTTGATAGCATCTGCAGCTGCCTTCGTTCGGAGGTAGTACAGGCCGGTCTTCAAGCCTGGCGAATGCAAGTCTGGAGTTACGGGCGCAAGTTACTCCCCGGACTCCCCGGCCTAGCTGCCAGCCGTGGAAGTGCATGGAGGAGAGCTTGGCAGTGGTCACATCCGTCATGTGGATGTTCAGAGACTGCGATTGGTCAATGTAGGCACCACGGTCTCCAGCCATGTCCAGCACAACCTTCTGCCTGATCTCCCAGACAGTCTTGTACAGCTCCTTGAGATCCTGCGGCAGGTCCATCTTTTGGACACTGCCATTGTGGGCGACCAGCTGAACGCGGAGTTCCTCGTTCCACAAACCGCGCTGGATGAGGTCCTTGAGGAGGTGTCGGTTCACTTGCACGAACTCGCCCGAAAGCACTCGTCGAACATAGAGGTTCTGTGTGTACGGCTCGAAGGACTCGTTGTTGCCTAAGATCTGGGCTGTGCTGGCCGTTGGCATGGGTGCCACAAGCAAAGAATTCCGGAGTCCGAATTGGGCGATGCGGCCTTTCAGGCCTTCCCAGTTCCAGCGTCCGCTGCGTGGCTTCCGATCCCACAGGTCGAACTGCAGCAGACCTTTGCTGGCAGGGCTGCCTTCGTAGGTCTCGTAAGGCCCGCAAGTTTCCGCCAGCTCGCAGGATGCCTCGCAGGCCGCGAAGTAAATCGTCTCGAAGATGTCCTCGTTGAGCTGCTTCGCGGCCTCGCTCTCGAACGGTAGCTTCATGATGAGGAAAGCATCAGCGAGGCCCTGGACGCCCAAGCCCACAGGCCGATGCCGGAGGTTAGACTTGCGTGCCTCCACCACCGGGTAGTAATTCCGGTCAATGACTCTGTTCAGGTTTCGGGTCACTACCTTCGTCACTTCGTAGAGTCGCTGGAAGTCATAGCTGCCATCCGAGCTGGCAAAGGCTGGCAACGAAATGGAGGCGAGGTTGCACACTGCCACCTCATCCTTCGAAGTGTACTCAATGATCTCTGTACAGAGGTTGGAGCAATGGATCGTGCCAAGGTTCTGCTGGTTGGACTTCCGGTTCGCATGGTCTTTGTACAACATGTAGGGCGTGCCTGTCTCCATCTGAGACTCGAGGATGCGGAACCAAAGCTGCTGTGCCTTCACCGTCTTGCGGCCCTTGCCCTCCCTCTCCAGGCGTGTGTACAGCTCCTCGAACTCCTGGCCCCAGAAATCCATGAGCCCCTTGCCGCTCTCCCCGTCGTAGGCCTCGTTGGGGCAGAAGAGTGTCCAGTCCTGGTTGTCCTTGACCCGCTTCATAAAGAGATCCGGGATCCAGAGCCCATAGAAGAGATCCCGGGCACGCTGCTCCTCCTTGCCGTGGTTCTTGCGAAGCTCCAGGAAATCGAAAACGTCCGCATGCCAGGGCTCCAGGTACATAGCGAAGGAGCCCTTCCTCTTGCCCCCGCCCTGATCCACATACCTGCCCAAGTCGATCGCTGTATCTCTCTCGTGGCACGGTAGACTCTACCTAGTCTACGTCTACGCAGCGCTCGCAACTCCTATTCTGACTCTGTGCTTGCGCAATGGCGCTCTGCCTCGCCGTCTCGTTGAAATTGCGGAGCATGGGTACGAGGCCGTTGCTGTGGCCGTTGGTGCCGCGAATGTAGGAGCCGCCGGCACGCACGTTCGAGATTGCCACGCCAATTCCCCCGGCAGACTTGGAGATGGAAGCGCACTGCTTCCTTGGGTCATTCGGAATCATGGAAGGGAAGAAAGGATCCTTCACTAGAACCCACAAACACCCCGAAGTCAGAAGGATCCTGAAGATGGACTCCAAGTTGCAAGGTGTCGTAGATACCTTCGATGCTGTCATCTTGCAACTTCAGCAGAAAGCAGGAGGACATCTGTGGCTTCGGAGTCCCCGCATTGAAGAGGGTCGGCGTCGCATGGGTGAAGAACTTCCGCGACATCAAGTCATACCTTGCTGCAGGGGCCAGGATTGGACATGCACTCCGTTTGCTGGCCCAAGACTCTAAACACAAGTCCCTCAAGGCATCGCTGCTACTTAGCCTGGCTGCGTCTCCAACGCTGCTTCGAGGTCCCCCATGTGGATGCCGCAGGCCGCGCGCATGATCATGTGCTGCGGCCTCTCCACGATCTTCCCATGCACACGTAGGAGGTAAGACTTCTCCAGGGTCTTGAATCCGAAGTAGTCGTAGCCCAAGTCCCGCTTGTAGTCGATGGCTTGGTCCAAAGCCTCCGCGTTGGCCTGGATGAACTCCCAAACGTCCTTGGCCAAAAGAGCCGCAGACCTGCCCTGCTTGTCGATGTAGTCGTGCAAGATCTTGCACGTCTCATAGAAAGAGTCGGATGTGTTTTTATGCAGGTTCGACACAGCAATGCGTGCGGCCAAAGTGGAGAAGTCTGGGTGCTTCTGTGACATGTATGCGCATGTCTCGGCAGCCAAGGTGTCCACCTCCGATGTGGAGATGCCGTTGTAGAAGCCTTCCACTACTTTCTGCGTAACGGGCACGGGGTCCACGAAGCGGGAGTCCAAGCCATCGCAAAGATTTTTGATGCGGCGCGTGATAGCATCGAACTTCACCTCCTGACTCTGTCCATCCCTCTTGACCACGTACATCGGCGCCATGGCACGGGGAACTGCGACAGTCGGTGAAGGACGCAGAGATTTACAGAATCCTTTCCCAGGTGGGCCAGCTAAAATGCCTTGTGCGACCGCAGCTTCACAAAGAGGCAACCTTTCGCCGCTAGCTGGCTACCAGCAGCTGTGTACATCTCCCCAACGCACACATGCGGCAAAGATCCGGCAATAGATGCTCTGGTGGAACCGACTCGTGCTAAACCCTCGTCCTTGCCATGCGCAAAGAAGAGGTTTCTTAGACTACTCACATCTACATCTACATTTTATACATACGCATGACATCGAAGCCTATCACATGCTGCAACAAGTTCAAGCATTGTAGAGACAAGCACCAGCTCATTCCGGGGCCATGTCGAGGACGCTTCTATCTAAAAGTGGTCCCGAGTGCCGCACACGTTTCTCCCCCATGCCCAACGGTTGATCTAGAGATGTCAGCATCTCCGAAGCCTGCAAAATGCAGGCACCCCCTCCAGTGGACTCTAGAGTCCACTTCTCTGGAAAATCAGGTCCCCGGTGAAACACAGGAGGATCAGGAGAAACAAGGCACTCGTGGTCTTCACACCTTGCTCCGAGTTAGCCCCCTCTTTCTTATGACACAGCTCTACCCCGTGGCTGTGCGCGGCAGCGAATTAGCGATCGCAAGAACACGGATCATGACACGCTCCGGACCCATCAGTCATGTCCTGGCGGTAGCGCCGGCAGTTGCACGTCTACAACTTCTCAAGACCTCAGGAGAGTGGCACATGGGCCCATGATGATCCATGGATCGGCAGGGCAAAGCGAATTGGGTGCAAAGCTGGCTCACGCGCTGCAATTCACGCAGCTGTACTTTGGCCCTTCAGCCTTCAGAGCTTCGATCGCCTCAGGCCCATGACGATCCAAGTGGCACACATCTACCTTGATGCCTTACATCTTGCAGCTTACAGCCCCTGAATGAAGCCAAGGAGCAGAGGCCTCCAAGCCTTTCGTCGCGGACACTGCCGTGGAGGCATCTGAATCAGAGGCCAATGACTTGTCAGACCTCCGTTCGGAGCTTTTCTGGGGTGAGGGACTGCTTATCGGGACGGTGTCTTTCTGCATGGCTGCTCGCCGTGCCTGGCGGTCTTGCCGAGCTTCTGGACATCCACGGTGAACTTGATAGCATCTGCAGCTGCCTTCGTTCGGAGGTAGTACAGGCCGGTCTTCAAGCCTGGCGAATGCAAGTCTGGAGTTACGAGCGCAAGTTACTCCCCGGACTCCCCGGCCTAGCTGCCAGCCGTGGAAGTGCATGGAGGAGAGCTTGGCAGTGGTCACATCCGTCATGTGGATGTTCAGAGACTGCGATTGGTCAATGTAGGCACCACGGTCTCCAGCCATGTCCAGCACAACCTTCTGCCTGATCTCCCAGACAGTCTTGTACAGCTCCTTGAGATCCTGCGGCAGGTCCATCTTTTGGACACTGCCATTGTGGGCGACCAGCTGAACGCGGAGTTCCTCGTTCCACAAACCGCGCTGGATGAGGTCCTTGAGGAGGTGTCGGTTCACTTGCACGAACTCGCCCGAAAGCACTCGTCGAACATAGAGGTTCTGTGTGTACGGCTCGAAGGACTCGTTGTTGCCTAAGATCTGGGCTGTGCTGGCCGTTGGCATGGGTGCCACAAGCAAAGAATTCCGGAGTCCGAATTGGGCGATGCGGCCTTTCAGGCCTTCCCAGTTCCAGCGCCCGCTGCGTGGTTTCCGATCCCACAGGTCGAACTGCAGCAGACCTTTGCTGGCAGGGCTGCCTTCGTAGGTCTCGTAAGGCCCGCAAGTTTCCGCCAGCTCGCAGGATGCCTCGCAGGCCGCGAAGTAGATCGTCTCGAAGATGTCCTCGTTGAGCTGCTTCGCGGCCTCGCTCTCGAAGGGTAGCTTCATGATGAGGAAAGCATCAGCGAGGCCCTGGACGCCCAAGCCCACAGGCCGATGCCGGAGGTTAGACTTGCGTGCCTCCACCACCGGGTAGTAATTCCGGTCAATGACTCTGTTCAGGTTTCGGGTCACCACCTTCGTCACTTCGTAGAGTCGCTGGAAGTCATAGCTGCCATCCGAGCTGGCAAAGGCTGGCAACGAAATTGAGGCGAGGTTGCACACTGCCACCTCATCCTTCGAAGTGTACTCAATGATCTCTGTACAGAGGTTGGAGCAATGGATCGTGCCAAGGTTCTGCTGGTTGGACTTCCGGTTCGCATGGTCTTTGTACAACATGTAGGGCGTGCCTGTCTCCATCTGAGACTCGAGGATGCGGAACCAAAGCTGCTGTGCCTTCACCGTCTTGCGGCCCTTGCCCTCCCTCTCCAGGCGTATGTACAGCTCCTCGAACTCCTGGCCCCAGAAATCCATGAGCCCCTTGCCGCTCTCCTCGTCGTAGGCCTCGTTGGGGCAGAAGAGTGTCCAGTCCTCGTTGTCCTTGACCCGCTTCATAAAGAGATCCGGGATCCAGAGCCCATAGAAGAGATCGCGGGCACGCTGCTCCTCCTTGCCGTGGTTCTTTCGAAGCTCCAGGAAATCGAAAACGTCCGCATGCCAGGGCTCCAGGTACATAGCGAAGGAGCCCTTCCTCTTGCCCCCGCCCTGATCCACATACCTGCCCAAGTCGATCGCTGTATCTCTCTCGTGGCACGGTAGACTCTACCTATAGTCTACGTCTACGCAGCGCTCGCAACTCCTGTTCTGACTCTGTGCTTGCGCAATGGCGCTCTGCCTCGCCGTCTCGTTGAAATTGCGGAGCATTGGTACGAGGCCGTTGCTGTGGCCGTTGGTGCCGCGAATGTAGGAGCCGCCGGCACGCACGTTCGAGATTGCCACGCCAATTCCCCCGGCAGACTTGGAGATGGAAGCGCACTGCTTCCTGGCTCATTCTGAATCATGGCAGGGAGGAAGGGATCCTTCACAAACCCCCAAAAGTCAGAAGGATCCTGAAGATAGACTCCAAGTTGCAGGGTGTCGTAGATACCTTCGATGCTGTCATCTTGCAACTTCAGCAGAAAGCAGGAGGACATCTGTGGCTTCGGAGTCCCCGCATTGAAGAGGGTCGGCGTCGCATGGGTGAAGAACTTCCGCGACATCAAGTCATACCTTGCTGCAGGGGCCAAAATTGGACATGCACTCCGTTTGCTGGCCCAAGACTCTAAACACAAGTCCCTCAAGGCATCGCTGCTACTTAGCCTGGCTGCGTCTCCAACGCGGCTTCGAGGTCCCCCATGTGGATGCCGCAGGCCGCGCGCATGATCATGTGCTGCGGCCTCTCCACGATCTTCCCATGCACACGTAGGAGGTAAGACTTCTCCAGGGTCTTGAATCCGAAGTAGTCGTAGCCCAAGTCCCGCTTGTAGTCGATGGCTTGGTCCAAAGCCTCCGCGTTGGCCTGGATGAACTCCCAAACGTCCTTGGCCAAAAGAGCCGCAGGCCTGCCCTGCTTGTCGATGTAGTTGTGCAAGATCTTGCACGTCTCATAGAAAGAGTCCGATGTGTTTTTATGCAGGTTCGACACAGCAATGCGTGCGGCCAAAGTGGAGAAGTCTGGGTGCTTCTGTGACATGTATGCGCATGTCTCGGCAGCCAAGGTGTCCACCTCCGATGTGGAGATGCCGTTGTAGAAGCCTTCCACTACCTTCTGCGTAACGGGCACGGGGTCCACGAAGCGGGAGTCCAAGCCATCGCAAAGATTTCTGATGCGGCGCGTGATAGCATCGAACTTCACCTCCTGACTCTGTCCATCCCTCTTGACCACGTACATCGGCGCCATGGCACGGGGAACTGCGACAGTCGGTGAAGGACGCAGAGATTTACAGAATCCTTTCCCAGGTGGGCCAGCTAAAATGCCTTGTGCGACCGCAGCTTCACAAAGAGGCAACCTTTCGCCGCTAGCTGGCTACCAGCAGCTGTGTACATCTCCCCAACGCACACATGCGGCAAAGATCCGGCAATAGATGCTCTGGTGGAACCGACTCGTGCTAAACCCTCGTCCTTGCCATGCGCAAAGAAGAGGTTTCTTAGACTACTCACATCTACATCTACATTTTATACATACGCATGACATCGAAGCCTATCACATGCTGCAACAAGTTCAAGCATTGTAGAGACAAGCACCAGCTCATTCCGGGGCCATGTCGAGGACGCTTCTATCTAAAAGTGGTCCCGAGTGCCGCACACGTTTCTCCCCCATGCCCAACGGTTGATCTAGAGATGTCAGCATCTCCGAAGCCTGCAAAATGCAGGCACCCCCTCCAGTGGACTCTAGAGTCCACTTCTCTGGAAAATCAGGTCCCCGGTGAAACACAGGAGGATCAGGAGAAACAAGGCACTCGTGGTCTTCACACCTTGCTCCGAGTTAGCCCCCTCTTTCTTATGACACAGCTCTACCCCGTGGCTGTGCGCGGCAGCGAATTAGCGATCGCAAGAACACGGATCATGACACGCTCCGGACCCATCAGTCATGTCCTGGCGGTAGCGCCGGCAGTTGCACGTCTACAACTTCTCAAGACCTCAGGAGAGTGGCACATGGGCCCATGATGATCCATGGATCGGCAGGGCAAAGCGAATTGGGTGCAAAGCTGGCTCACGCGCTGCAATTCACGCAGCTGTACTTTGGCCCTTCAGCCTTCAGAGCTTCGATCGCCTCAGGCCCATGACGATCCAAGTGGCACACATCTACCTTGATGCCTTACATCTTGCAGCTTACAGCCCCTGAATGAAGCCAAGGAGCAGAGGCCTCCAAGCCTTTCGTCGCGGACACTGCCGTGGAGGCATCTGAATCAGAGGCCAATGACTTGTCAGACCTCCGTTCGGAGCTTTTCTGGGGTGAGGGACTGCTTATCGGGACGGTGTCTTTCTGCATGGCTGCTCGCCGTGCCTGGCGGTCTTGCCGAGCTTCTGGACATCCACGGTGAACTTGATAGCATCTGCAGCTGCCTTCGTTCGGAGGTAGTACAGGCCGGTCTTCAAGCCTGGCGAATGCAAGTCTGGAGTTACGAGCGCAAGTTACTCCCCGGACTCCCCGGCCTAGCTGCCAGCCGTGGAAGTGCATGGAGGAGAGCTTGGCAGTGGTCACATCCGTCATGTGGATGTTCAGAGACTGCGATTGGTCAATGTAGGCACCACGGTCTCCAGCCATGTCCAGCACAACCTTCTGCCTGATCTCCCAGACAGTCTTGTACAGCTCCTTGAGATCCTGCGGCAGGTCCATCTTTTGGACACTGCCATTGTGGGCGACCAGCTGAACGCGGAGTTCCTCGTTCCACAAACCGCGCTGGATGAGGTCCTTGAGGAGGTGTCGGTTCACTTGCACGAACTCGCCCGAAAGCACTCGTCGAACATAGAGGTTCTGTGTGTACGGCTCGAAGGACTCGTTGTTGCCTAAGATCTGGGCTGTGCTGGCCGTTGGCATGGGTGCCACAAGCAAAGAATTCCGGAGTCCGAATTGGGCGATGCGGCCTTTCAGGCCTTCCCAGTTCCAGCGCCCGCTGCGTGGTTTCCGATCCCACAGGTCGAACTGCAGCAGACCTTTGCTGGCAGGGCTGCCTTCGTAGGTCTCGTAAGGCCCGCAAGTTTCCGCCAGCTCGCAGGATGCCTCGCAGGCCGCGAAGTAGATCGTCTCGAAGATGTCCTCGTTGAGCTGCTTCGCGGCCTCGCTCTCGAAGGGTAGCTTCATGATGAGGAAAGCATCAGCGAGGCCCTGGACGCCCAAGCCCACAGGCCGATGCCGGAGGTTAGACTTGCGTGCCTCCACCACCGGGTAGTAATTCCGGTCAATGACTCTGTTCAGGTTTCGGGTCACCACCTTCGTCACTTCGTAGAGTCGCTGGAAGTCATAGCTGCCATCCGAGCTGGCAAAGGCTGGCAACGAAATTGAGGCGAGGTTGCACACTGCCACCTCATCCTTCGAAGTGTACTCAATGATCTCTGTACAGAGGTTGGAGCAATGGATCGTGCCAAGGTTCTGCTGGTTGGACTTCCGGTTCGCATGGTCTTTGTACAACATGTAGGGCGTGCCTGTCTCCATCTGAGACTCGAGGATGCGGAACCAAAGCTGCTGTGCCTTCACCGTCTTGCGGCCCTTGCCCTCCCTCTCCAGGCGTGTGTACAGCTCCTCGAACTCCTGGCCCCAGAAATCCATGAGCCCCTTGCCGCTCTCCTCGTCGTAGGCCTCGTTGGGGCAGAAGAGTGTCCAGTCCTCGTTGTCCTTGACCCGCTTCATAAAGAGATCCGGGATCCAGAGCCCATAGAAGAGATCGCGGGCACGCTGCTCCTCCTTGCCGTGGTTCTTTCGAAGCTCCAGGAAATCGAAAACGTCCGCATGCCAGGGCTCCAGGTACATAGCGAAGGAGCCCTTCCTCTTGCCCCCGCCCTGATCCACATACCTGCCCAAGTCGATCGCTGTATCTCTCTCGTGGCACGGTAGACTCTACCTATAGTCTACGTCTACGCAGCGCTCGCAACTCCTATTCTGACTCTGTGCTTGCGCAATGGCGCTCTGCCTCGCCGTCTCGTTGAAATTGCGGAGCATGGGTACGAGGCCGTTGCTGTGGCCGTTGGTGCCGCGAATGTAAGAGCCGCTGGCACGCACGTTCGAGATTGCCACGCCAATTCCACCGGCAGACTTGGAGATGGAAGCGCACTGCTTCCTGGCTCATTCTGAATCATGGCAGGGAAGAAAGGATCCTTCACTAGAACCCCACAAACACCCAGAAGTCAGAATGATCCTGAAGATAGACTCCAAGTTGCAAGGTGTCGTAGATACCTTCGATGCTGTCATCTTGCAACTTCAGCAGAAAGCAGGAGGACATCTGTGGCTTCGGAGTCCCCGCATTGAAGAGGGTCGGCGTCGCATGGGTGAAGAACTTCCGCGACATCAAGTCATACCTTGCTGCAGGGGCCAGGATTGGACATGCACTCCGTTTGCTGGCCCAAGACTCTAAACACAAGGCCCTCAAGGCATCGCTGCTACTTAGCCTGGCTGCGTCTCCAACGCGGCTTCGAGGTCCCCCATGTGGATGCCGCAGGCCGCGCGCATGATCATGTGCTGCGGCCTCTCCACGATCTTCCCATGCACACGTAGGAGGTAAGACTTCTCCAGGGTCTTGAATCCGAAGTAGTCGTAGCCCAAGTCCCGCTTGTAGTCGATGGCTTGGTCCAAAGCCTCCGCGTTGGCCTGGATGAACTCCCAAACGTCCTTGGCCAAAAGAGCCGCAGGCCTGCCCTGCTTGTCGATGTAGTTGTGCAAGATCTTGCACGTCTCATAGAAAGAGTCCGATGTGTTTTTATGCAGGTTCGACACAGCAATGCGTGCGGCCAAAGTGGAGAAGTCTGGGTGCTTCTGTGACATGTATGCGCATGTCTCGGCAGCCAAGGTGTCCACCTCCGATGTGGAGATGCCGTTGTAGAAGCCTTCCACTACCTTCTGCGTGACGGGCACGGGGTCCACGAAGCGGGGGTCCAAGCCATCGCAAAGATTTTTGATGCGGCGCGTGATAGCATCGAACTTCACCTCCTGACTCTGTCCATCCCTCTTGACCACGTACATCGGCGCCATGGCACGGGGAACTGCGACAGTCGGTGAAGGATGCAGAGATTTACAGAATCCTTTCCCAGGTGGGCCAGCTAAAATGCCTGGTGCGACGGCAACTTGGAACGGTGGCATTCCACTCATCGAAGGGTGCTACTCGCTGCCAGATTCGTGCGTGCCTCTCCCCACGCACACTCCCGTCCGGGCCTCTGAAGATTGTGGTTGACGGAAGATCTCCAGTAGATGCTCTTCTGGACATGGTCATAGATCACGCCCCACTGGGTGTGGTCCTCAAGGTTTCAAGTTGCACAAGCAGCCGATGGGGACACAAGGAGAAGATGAGCCCGCGACGCCCGAGCCTTCTCCAGAATGTTTACCGGAGTCTGTGCCAAGCTGAAGGCCCATGGGCACCGTGACCGTATTCAGCACATGCACGGCTTGCATGACTGCCTCCTGGAACCGGATTCAGAACGCATCTGCTGGAGTCTCTTGGATTAGCTTGCGGGTTCTGCCTGGTAGGACTTCGGGACAGGCATCCCCCTTTTCACCTGGAAGATTCGCTGGAAGCGGTCTTCCGGATACCATGCACCGGGCATGGCCACTGCCTCGGTATCTGTGGGGAGCCCCTTGGTCCCTTAACCCTTCAGCCCTTCAGCCCTCAGCTCAGGCAATGAGGCTCCTGACTGTTCTGGCGAGGCCTTCCTTCCACTTCAAGTGCCGGATTGCCTCTGAAAGCACTGGCACCTTGTGCCCTGTCTTGATTGGGCTTTCTCGAGATGCCTGTAGCTGCCAGTCGAAGGAAGGCTCGTTCGTCATAATGCCGAAGGTGCTGTCGCCATCATTCAGATCCTCTGTCTCGGGGTCTTGCATGCGCACCTCTGATGCTGAGACCATACGTTCAGACGGCCTCTCGGGTGACGGTCTTGCCTCGCATGAATCGACTGTCTGGCTGGCCCGATTTGCCCACACGCCATTGTGTCATTGGGTCGCTGGCCATCCAGGAACTCAACCACGAGCCCTTTTCCCGTCCCATCTCTGAGAACCCAGTGCAAGCCTCAGTCTAAATAAATTCTAGCACTAGCTAGCAGCTAGCACTCTCCCAGGAGCTTTCCGATGGTCCAAGGTCTCATGTCCAAACGGTCACACAAAAAGCTGTTGGAAAATCCTCATACGCCAGTGCCTGGATGCTGGCGAGCGGCCGCCAACAAGGGCAAAAACCGACTTGGGCTCGGTAAACCTGGGCGTGGGCTGTCGGCGAGTCGGCGAGTTTCTCAAAACTGTGTTGCTCGTTTCTTACAGCCGCTGAATGCAAGCCATGCAGCTGGACTGACTTCAGGCCTTCCTGTATCTCGTCAATGGTAGCAAATCCTTCCAAAGCCCACCGGCAAAGAAGAATAGCCTCCATGTTGTCCTTCCCGACAGCAGCGCCCGGGTACTGGCTTCCCAACAACGTCTGCGCATCACAGCTGAGACCCGCATCGTTCCTTTCAAGGGAATGCAATGACACGACACATGCCTCACTGCCTTCGGGTATGCAAAAGCCTGCGACACCTGCATCTTCAGCGTTACGAGCATGTTTGACTGCGGCCGGGGATCATGCCCCCGAATTGAGAATTTTCCTAGCAGCGCAGAACTTACACGACTCAGGAAGCTTACAAACATCATCACCTCATGCCCGCGCCTCAATAACTCCCATGATCGTGGCTGCGAAACCCAGGTAACCATGCTTGGAAGATCGAAGCCCAGGTAAGCCCGCAGGCACAGCCAAGAGAGACCAGCCTAGCGAAATTCAGATGAGTCTGTGGGAGACTTGATCGAGTCGTTGAGTACTAGTTCCCTGTTTTGGCATCTCCAGAATTGGAAGATGGCTTTCGGCCTAGGCCCGGGATGCTTCCCAAGTCCATCGTCCGCACAGAGATGCCGTAGTCATTGTTCATGAGAAAATTTGAACATGCCTTCGCTCGGACTCAAGGCCCGCAGGAAGCAGGGAGAGCCAGAGTTTCCTTCTTCAGACGAGTCGCCGAAGACCCGAGAAGTAAAGAGGCGAAGCCTCCCAGGGCCAAGAGCCCCGTCGCCATGGCTCGGCGGCTCGGCGGCTCGGCTTGGCTGAGGCTTCCCGCCTCTTCGAAGCTCCGGACGGCGGTGGAATCAGATGTGCAACAGGCCAAGGATAACTCATTTGAGTGAGGGCAATTAAATCATTCCCAACATCTCAGCCAAGGATCGGCTCCATGATGAAGTCCAGCCTGTCTAAACTCGAAACTGACACAGCCCTGTATGCGTTCTGTGTTGTGGATATTCCAAATATGTCGTGCTGCTGTGCACTCACGAAACTAGACAGGTGTCGGTCCAGTGAACAGTCTACATTCTGGAATTTGTTTCATCCTTCTCCGCCACATCATATAATCATAACATGACTTAGTATGCAAGCTATCACATTGCACATTATTGTCCGACTGCTCTATAAGCCCGCGGCAGGAAAAAGTGCTGCGCGTTCCGGCTCACGAGGTCAGTTCGAGTGGCTGAGTGGACCGCGTCATGCCAGATGACCTCAGGTATTTCTTGCCCAAAGCACTCACTCGGACTTCTCCTCCAGTAGTGCTACATGAAAGAGAGGAGGACCATTTGCGGTTCGGACGATGAGAATGACAAAGACGGGGATGACAAGCCTCTGTTACTGTATATTTGGATCCCTTGATTGTTCGGGGGACACCTCCTGCTCGTTTACCGAGATGTCGCATCTGTGCAGTTGAACAACGCAGCGGACGCGGGCGAGGGATGATAGAGAAACACTGCACGTGCAGCCAGACTGCGAAGGCGTACAGGCACATCACCGGCAGCAGAAGCACTACCTCAGGCGCAGAGCGTCACCACATGTCGGGATTTCAGACGTGCTCGGCTTTGCTTCCCTACAGGTTTCCCATCGCTATGCTCGTGGATTCCGAGGCCACAACGAACTGCACCTGCCAGCAAACGCGCAAATGCCCATGCACTGCCTGTTGCTCTTGTGTCCAAGCTGCCCAGAACAGGAAGGTCAAGAGCAATCCCTTCAGACCTTGGCTGCAGCCGTCTCATGCGTGGTGCGACGCTGGCATGTCCCCCTCAACCTGAGCTCCGCACCATGCCCGACTGCAGTTTCCATCTGAGAGACGACGGTTGGTAGCAGTCCGTACCTGTGCAGACAAATTTGCCAGAGCCGAAGTGGCGTGGCTCTTCTTGAAAAATATCTGCTGGACCGATGCACTGGAGCAGTGGGTCTGGGAGCCAATCCGAGGAACGCCTGCAAAGGTGCTCTAGCTCTACGACTCCAAACTACTCTAAGCCCTGTAAGCTGCAAGTTCACGGTGTCAATTCGTCAATCGTGACTATGATCACAACTCCGCTCAAGCTGGAATTTTCCCCACGTTCACTCTCGCTCGCGCCGAAGCAAGGTCCGCAAGAGCTCAGTGCTCGTCAGCGTGCCAGCAGCTCGATTCAGCACGGGCTCCTGCGACTGCAGAATGGTGACATTTCCGAGCTTTTGACTTGAGGCATGCATTGGCTCTACCAAAAGTCGAGGCTCTGCTGCGGGCAGGTCGATGCTGCTCTCCTGTTCCACTCCAGCGAACCACACGGTTTTTTTTTCGGCGAATCAGGCAGTGGGGCCCCGGGCCTGGCAGGAAGCCAAGACCGCACAGAAGAAGTCGTCGACACCAGTGCCCGTCCTCGGCCCACATTGCCCAGAAACAGGGCGCAGGCGCAGGTTGCAGGTGCAGCCGCGGCACATGGCGCTGCACATCCCAAACTCAGCTTGGGCCGTCTTGGCCACTTGTCCGAGCAAGCGATCTGCCGTTCGGTAATCCTGTGCCGAAAGGCGATCCTCAGGAATCCCCCCGACAGCTACGAAAGGACATAAAGCTACGAGGCCCCGACCACTTGGAGGCCACAGAGGCCCAGGATGGTTCCAGGCCGCACGACCTGCACAGTCGAGGACGAGTCTCTCTGGCGGAGCGGCGCGACCGGACCAGGGCCCGCAGGGCCTCGGAAGCCTCTGAAAGCAGCCGCTCTGCTTCACTCGGCGCTTGAGCTTCGCTGGCATCCACGGCGACGACCACCACCTGGGCGGCCTTCAGATAGCCTCCCAAAGCCTCACAGGGGCAAAGATTTCATCCGCCAACCTCAAACGCATGCAACCGCCTGCCCGCCTGCTGGCGGCTGAAGCCCGAGGGCTCCCAGATACGCAATCGACCCCGTGAGCGGAGTGGCGTAGACCGCATGCCCACACGAACTACACGCATGTCAGTGCCCAGGCTGGGAACCTGGCGACAGACCCTTGAAAAGAGCAGCATCTTAACCGCTCTTGAGCGACCTCGCACCTTGTCCAACCGATCGGGCACACTCCCGGTGCAGAATCGATGCACCAGCCAGGTTTTCCCACTGCGAGGGCCTCCTATGACAAGAAGTCCAGCTTGCCAGTCGTGCGCACCGGTGTCCGTCTCTGGATCGCCTTAGCGCGGCTTCTGTGAAGTGCACTTCCCAGCTTCTCACCGATGTCACCACTTGCCAGTTCGCCCAGCCACCAATGTCTAGGCGGAGCCCTGCAGCAGGCGGCAGCCGCCGTGCCAGTCGACAAAGAGACGGCGCAGAGGAGCGAAAGTCCAACTCCACCTCCAAGCGTCTGGTTAGAAAGCAGGCACGAACCGGTGACTTTGATGCACATTATGTAAGTCTAGCGACGACGGGTCGATCGGGATAGCGTTGTAGAAAGCCTCGGGCATTCAGAAGACTGCATGCCCTGCAAGCCGTGTGCGCTCTGCCGAGCTGAGGCCGCGCGCAGGCTCGCCAGAGCTCCTCGTGATCGAGCTCTGACTTCAAAGCGGAGCCCGCCTCCAAAGATGCAAAGGACGCAGCTAAATCCTTGCACTCTGACTCTTGCATGGGCCTCGCGAGCAAGGCGGACTGCGCTTGGGCAGGGCAGAAACCCCAGCCCAAGGACCAACACAAAGCCTGGCAGGGCTTCAAATCTTGTGTTGTGCGGCAAATATACTCGCGAGGTCTCCAACCAGGCCGCCAGGCAACTTGCCATCTGACCGGCATCGGTCTTCTCCGTCTCGCAGCGAACGGTGAAGGCTTCGCTCGCAGCCATGAGGCGAGCAAACTCGTGGTCATGAGTCTCTGGAATCTTCTGCCGTTTGTTTGGACAGTTGGTGGCCGCCGCCGGCTGTACTAGCTGGCAGTCGCCTCGTAATCCCGCATGCTCTACGAGAAAGGCTGCTCAGGCTCGGTCTCACTTGGGAGTCTGCATGCTACACATCACCTCTGAAACAGTTCTTCGAGCCTGGCGGCCAACACTCTTTCGAACATGCTGCAGCACGTACTGGTAGTTTTGTTGGGGGCTTCTCCTACTTTGGTACTTGCTGCGTGCCGTGAAAATTCATGTTAAACGTGTACACAAGTAGCCACCATCTGGATACCCTCGGCCCTCAGCTTTGCAGGTGACGTTCCGAAAACCCCCTGCTGAGCTTAGCCCGTCGCTGCTGCTGCGCAAGACTTCAAGAACGCTTGAAGGGCCTAACGCATTCATGACCTCCATGTATCCCGCCCATGTTTGCTTGGTCTTGCAACTGCGACGCTGCCGGCTGCCGTCTGCCAACCCAAGCACTTGTGCTTTCGTTCTTCTCTCGTGCTCTCACTCACCGACAAGTTGCAGGCAGCACCCCCAAAGAAGCCAAGACTACGCGGCCAGCAGTGGTGCATACCAATCCATGTCTCACTCCCCTTTGGCTCTCTCGCTCTGCGTGCTGCCAGCTCATTCACTTGCCAGCCTCCAGAAGACGTTGACGGGGATTCTCACCGGCAGTCGGTGACCATCCTGGCCTATACCCCCCTCGCCTACCTCTACCGCGGAGAGCCCTCCAAGGACCGAGCAACCGAGCGAGGCTTCTGCTGGCTTGGTGCTTGGGTTTTCTCGCCATCCTCGCCTAACAGCGACAACTGCAGAACGCTTTCTTCACCGTTCTTCTAAGCAATGGAAATGAGCCCATAACCGCCTGCCAACAAGGGCGTGGTCAATGCCTTCGGACCGCATTTCAGGCGCGAGACCCTCTTCATCCACATGCATTCGGGCATGCGACGGTTGCCCGCCTCTTGAAGTGAAACTGCTCGGCCCCCAGCCTGACAACTGCAAAATTATGAGCATCTCTCGACCCTGGCAGGCCTCCCACCCTTTTCGTTGCCGCGGCCTTGGCCGTTGGACCATCGCCCCTGTCGTAGATTCCTTCGAGCATGTCCTTGCACCGTGGAAGAGTCGCACAAGCGGGTACAAGAAGAACCGCCGCACATGCAGATGCCTGTGTCAGACGGCAGTCTTGCAGCTGGAGCGAGTCCTTACGAAAACTCTGCAGACTCTTGACGACCTTCGCCTTCGACATCAGTAGATGCCGGTTGTCATCAGTAGCAGGCTTCCCCCGAAGAGAGGACGACCGACGGGCCGTTCTCGATGAGAACCTGCACCGCTGATCAATGCCTGCATAGCAACTTGTGCAAACCCGATGTTCAGACAAAGTGCGAAGCTGGGCGAGTTCTGCAAGGCCGCCCGACGTTCTGCAACATGCTTGACGACCTGCACCAACAGCCCGCAATTCGCTGCGCGAGCAGAGCCACACTCAGATCTTCACAAGGCGAGCAATGGGAAACGGGTGCCACGCAGCACCCAGTTTTCAACAGAACAGATTTCGCACCTCAAGTGCAAGTGTCAAGAAGACAGGGTGCTGCGTGGCACTCGTTTCCCATTGCTCATCTTGTGAAGATCTGAGCGTGGCTCTGCTTGACACAGGCTTGTCTCTAAGCCAGCTTCAGTCTTGCATTTCGATCTCGCACCAATGCGACAGAGACGACTCAGGACCATCATACAGTAGTCATAGACCGAGAATGACGCCTCTCCACACCCTCGACGCCTGCATCTCGTGAGGAACTGGTAGTGGAGCACGGAAACCGCGGGCAAGGTGCAATAGCCGCTCCGTTGTTCGCACCTCGGCATAAAGGTGCATCATGGAAATCTCGCTGCTGCACTACGTAGACTCCAAGAGCCAGGCCCCAAAATCATCGAGCTTGTCATAGTCTATCTGTTCCTTTGTGGGGAGCGAGCAGGGCTCGGTGCCGACGGAAGCTTCGACTATTGGCACGGGGCCCCCGACCATTGAGATGCCGTTCCGAGAGCAGAAGCCCGCATAGCAGAGCTCCAGGTCCTCGCAGCTAAGACCGCTTAAGGAAGGCTTAAAGCAAGCTGTTGTTGAGCCGGTTCCCACTCCCACCTGGATCAGCACAGGCCTCACCAAGGCGAATTGATGGCTGCAGAGGACCTGTAGTAGCAGTGTAGCAGGCTGTCAAGTCAGGAATGAGGGCATGCATGCTGCAGTGGCATGGCGCAGCAGTTCGTTGGAGGCTCCCACCAATTGCCTGGTGCCTCCTTGCGTCACGAAGGCCTGACGCACCGAAGCACGATGGAATGCCAGGCCCTAGGCCGGAGCTTGCTGAGGGGGAGGAGGCCGAGTAGGCATTTGAGACACAACCAAGCCGTGGAGGCTACCACCCGTAGACAATCGAATTCGCGATGTACATTGAAACACTTATGAGACCGAGCAGGCTCGCGTCGCTGAACTAGGCTACAGCTTCAGCCTCACCGGCCTTTCAGAATTGCACTTGTGGCTTCTGCAGAGCATCAGCGAAGCATGCGGCCATGCCCACATGCCTGAAGCTCGAAACACATGACTGTACAGTGGTGTGCACTGCTGTGCTGAACGTGTGGGCGAATCCGTGCACACGTGTCGCTCATACCCACGGGGAAGAGCACAGTAAAACGGAAAACAAAACACACGAAGCTTCGCCGCTTCGCTACAAGTCAGCGGCCCTCGGCAACAGCCCTTCGTCCGAATCGTCGTTCATCTCCCCCTCCGGGGGAGTATCAGAGAAAGATGTGCCGGCCTCGCAGAATCTTACGAAGCCACAACCAGTCTCGGTCACTACCTGTAGTTGCAATGGAACATCCTCGTCAACACGGCGGCCTTTGTATGCAGCCATCTGATCATGTCGTCCGGCTTGCGGCTGCCAACCTTTGCCATAACATGCTCCCTCCTGTGCTGGCACGACCCGCTCTCCTCAAGCCGAGAGGCGTAAAATTCGATCATCCCACCTGTGTCTCCGCTGGGGAAGAGGGCGATCGTTGGAAAGCCAGACACAGATCCTCGGCTAAGTATGCGCGCAAAACACAAGAAGGCGACCTTCGAACAATGCCAAACCGGGCATCCCCAGAGCGGGCCCAGATCATTGCGTGTGCAGTCCATCTGAGCGATGACCACAGTCGAGACGTGGGAGAGACGTCTAGCCAGCTCCTTCCAAAAGCAAAAGCATGACTCATGACCTTGGAAGCAACATCCAGCATGTGCATCCTTGTACTGCGGCTTGAAGTTCTGGCAGTGGCCACACCACGGCGCATAGCAGTTGACAAGTACATCCTTCAAGAAAAACTCTTCGGCTGTGGACTTGGCACGTCTTGCTGTGTTACTAGTTCACTGTAAACAATTGGCAGAAGTCCTTTCCCGTATCCTTAGCTGCTGCAAGGAGACCAAAACAAGCGCTCAAAGTGCATTGAGTTGCCCACCTGCACCGTGCGGCTGATGGTCGTCCCAACCAGGTTCCGCACCTGGCCGGGGTTTGCTTGCGATTCGGCACTGAGAACCTATCTCCAGTAGGCGAGAAGCTGCGGTAGTCCCCACTTCCAACACTTTCGGAAACCCCGAGATAGCCAATCTCCAAATTCAAATTCGCCAAACTCAAGCCCACCTGTTCGCTGGTGGGCACGCGACACATCAAAGGCGGCTTCGGAAACCCCTCGCTTTCCAAAATCCCCAAGAGCTGATTGCACAATACGCACGCCCCCCTCTTCCCCTCCCCCATTGCTGAAACCACTACACCACTTTGGCTTCCCTCGTTCACTTATTTGTCAAACTTGAAATCCCACCTGATTCCAAGATATGACAATGGATTCTTTTGCGCTGTCGACCTTTCGTCCAAATCTCCACTGAGACATGCAGTCGGTGGATAGAGAGGGAGGAGAGTGGGAGAGAATGGATGTTTCCGTGTAGGGGCTTTGCTATCAACATCGCACAGGCATGTCGCCAAGAGCTGGCATGCTGCGCTAGCACATTAGACTGTCTTGCAAGAACCATGTAGGAAAGATGGCACAGTGCCAAGAAGTCAAAGCCATAAACTGGACGGAGCTGCAAATCCAGTGTAGAGGGTCTCCGGCGAGGGCTCGGGCTCGCTCCGCACGCCGAACAGCCAGCTCAGCCAAGAACCTGGGAGACCGAGCGATTCGGAATGGCCTGGGCTCTGCGCTGCCCACCTCCCGGTCGAAAATGCGGGTGGGACTGGACCTTCTTGTCTTCCTCCGGCAAAAACCGATTGGGCTTGACGTCTGAGCATGTGCAGGTTAGCTTAAGTCTTCAGTGCACAAACTATATACCTGCCACTGAGAAGTAGTTGAGAAGTTGATGCTGATTGCACTAAGACTGCAATGCGCTTTTAGCCCTTTACAGTACGGAATGCCTTGCTGTTTTGTGGCGTGCTGGGTGCTATTGAAGGCAGGATCGCGCGGAAACTCAAAGGAGAAAGGTTGCTCGGAGAGGCTCGTTTCAGGTCTGTTCCTAGCAGTTCTCCCGGGAACTACTTTGCCCAGGACTTCGCAGGTTGGATTTCTGAGGACATGATGCTGACGACATGGTGATGACGACATGGTGATGACGACATGGTGACGATGATATGGTGGTGACCACATGGCGATGACAGCAAATGATAAATGTCGACATGATGCTGACGACATGGTGATGACGGCATGATGCTGACGACATGATGCTAGCTACATGATGATGACGGCATGATGATGACATCTAATGATGTGTGACGGCATGATGTCGAAAACATCGTGACGACGACATGCTCCGGCGTTTTCCTCGAAGTGTACGAAGTGCTGCAAATTACTGCGAATCCTGCATGAAACCCAGGGCTTTAGTCATGGTTTCACGTGCTTCTCCGCACTCGCACAAGACAAAACCTCGAGTGTTTGCATGTCTTTGTCGTTCTAGTGATGTCAAAACCTTGCTTTGTAACATCTACGTGCGCGCACTTCCAATCTGTAAGTGCGCGCGAAGACAATATGTTCCGAAAACATGCGGCTCTGTTGCGTAAGTGCCAAAACCCTCGGAATTTGCGGTGCTTTCGAGCTCTTGCAACAACTTCTTCCTTTATACTTCCCCGTGGTCTGCGGGAAACCCCCAAGGACCTGCCTCGTTTCACTCGCCGTTGTTCAGCAGTCCTGCCTGTGCACACCCGCCTTTTCCAAGAACTTTGTTGTGCGCATGCTCGTGTCAGTTCTGTTCGTCGAGTGTTCTTTGGTCGCTGTCAGGAAGTCCGACTCGTCAAACAAGGTTCGCGTTGCTCAATCGGTGCTTTGACCAGTGCTTCGGATGGTTTTGCGTACCCCGAGGCAGAAAGAGTAGCAGACCTCTCAATAATCGCTAAGGGAAACCACAGAGATTGGAGACTCTGAAAGAAAGAAGAGCAAACCGCCAAAAAATACCATGAATCTCGGAAACAAGAGAAAAACGCTCCAACCGAGCCGAAGAACTTGAGAAAGAACAGCAACTGGCGAAGTCGAGACAAGCGCCACTCTTGTCAAAAGCGGACCACTGTAGCGATTGCTAGAAAGAGGAGCAGACCGCCCGAAAGGGACTAGAGAATTCGAGAAACAGATGCAAAACTGCTCGAAAGGAACCCAACAACTTGAAAGAGCAGTGGACCGCTCCGACGGGACACGAGAAGTCTAGACATGAGTAGCCAACCGAGAACGAACTGGAGATTGTGTGAAGGGTAGACCGCGCGAAGGGGGCTCGGGCTTTTGAGGAAGTGGAGCAGCTGGTGTGCTCAACCAAACAGAGTAAATAAGTGCATGAAGTTCAACATGCTTCAACTCGACTCTGCATGCAGCACGGCTTCAACACAAGGCAAGAAGGTCCTTGTGCGCTGCTGCCTGATTTTTGACCGTGGCCACAACGCACTTTTCCGACAGCCACATGCAGTCGCCTGAGCCGTGCTGGAGCGCAATGCATGACATGCGTGTGTTCGATGGCTCCACTTGTGTAGGCTCTCGATCCCCCTCCCTGTTTTCCAACCACTAGCCACTTGCCGTCACGAGCCCCGAGCCTCCCCTTAAGATGCATCTAACACGACTTGTTTCTTAGCACCTGTCCCTTGACTAAATGTCGGTTGGACAACCCTGGCTGTCCGTGTCCAAGTCGGCAACGCTTCCTTTTTACTCACGACTTCTGGGACCGAGCTAACGCTGATCTTCCTCTCATCACCGACGGCCATCTCGAACTCCAAGCCGTTGCGGCTGAGCGGCGGCACCCTGTAAGACGAAGTGGAATCGCGACTCACACGCTCTGCACAAGCTGCCTTCGGAGCCCGCGACATCTGGACGAGGCTCCCTGCAGGCACGAGATTCTGTCGTGTGCAGATTCAGATGATCAACAACTTTGCCAGCACTTGTGGCCGCAAAGGCTCCACGTCATGGTCATTGTCATCTTCCCGAAATCGCGCGACATTGCTCACTGAATGAGTATCTCGTTGACCCTGACGACTGGCGGTTGGGAAAGCGCATAGGCGACTGCGTCGGCGATGCTACCCGGCGGAATCGAGTCTGGGATGACGTCAGTGTTGACGAACGGGTTGAACATGCGGTCGCCCTCCTCGTCCACGACGAGATTACGTCCGGGGGTGTCCACCTCCCCAGGTTGCACGGTCAGCACCCGAATGCCACTGCCCTCAAGCTCCATCCGCAGACCCGTAGCATAGGCCTGTTTCCAGAACTTGCAAGCCGAGTACACCGTCAGGCCCTTCCAGACCTGGCGGGCATTTTCGGAAGTGATCAGCATGATCTGGCCTGCCTTCTTGGCCAGCATCCCTGGCAAGGTCACTTCCACTGCATTCAACGTCCCATTGCAATGCACAGCGACAAGATCCGCATGGTGATCGTGAACTGCAGCAGCATCGGCAGTTGCCCTCACGTAGGACCACATGCCAGCACAATGCACCAGCACGTCGGCAGCCTCCAGCTTGGCCTTCATCTCCTTGGTGGCAGCTTCCATGGCGGCTCGGTCTGTCACATCAGCAACCAGCACGAGAGGCCGCTCTCCTCCGGATCGCTCTATTTTCTTCGCGAGGTCCTGGAGCTTGCTTTCGGAACGAGCCAAAAGCGCTAGCCGATACGTCTCTGCCAGCTTCTCTGCGATGGCCGCCCCAATCCCGCTGGATGCACCCGTAACCAAAGCCACCCGCTTGCTGCAGCCCGCCGAAGCGGCGTAGCCTGCCTGCGCCATGGATCTTGATGCAACGTTCAAAACGGAGCCAATTTGATTCGTAACAGCTG